AACTGTCAGGTGTCACTAAACTAGCTAAAATGGCGTAATTTTTTAAATTCTGGTTTTCGGCGACTAACTCTCAAATCGACCCGATTCCTTCAATATGTGATAGAGCACCATTAACTCTTCAAAACCTATGAAGTCGCAGTGCTGACATCTTCAAATACCAGATTTATAACAGTGGAAATTTCGCATAATTTCCCGTTACTTTATTATTCAAAATTCTGGTTTTCAGTGGTTACTGCCTAGATCGACCTACTACATAGACATATGCTTCCAATACTTTCTTTTGTGTTCTTTTTGCTTACTTTCCTGCTTTTAAGCTTTGGCAAAAAAATTTTCCAGACCCAAAAGTGAAGGTGATCACCCTAAACCAGCTTTAAAAAAAAGGTAGGCGGAGACTCGGCTCAGACTATCGCACCTCTGGACACAAGCAAAACATTATGAATGTTTTGATTTACTCTATAAGCACAGAAAACATAAAACTGAGCAGAAGCCGGAAAACGACTGGCACGATCTCAATGCATTATGATACAACTAATAGTTAATCTCAAAAGCCTTGAAAAGACAACATCATGTGGCTTCTTTACCCCATCACTGCAATGAGATCCCTTTGCCACTCGTGTCGCAATCATAGCGACCGAGGTGGCAGTCAAATTAAATAAAACAGCCGTTGCTCGCCTTATTTTTCTCATAAACGAACAAACACTGATCCTAAACCTATGCTTAAAAAGCATTATGATAATAGGTTCATTTAATGTTTAACATAGAAGCCTGCATATGGCGTGTTATGTTACATATAAAAGTCCAAAAACTTTTTCTTGTATAAATTATATATGGGAAAAAGTTTCGCATTTCTTCCACATCTTCTGTGCCCTACAGTGGGAGATCATGATGAGACTGATCATGATTTTAGAGTCTGGTGAGGCTCTACCAGACTGTAAAATTTTCTGCGTTCTAATCTTTTTGCATACAGTCATGTTTAAGCGTTGCAAATCTTGAAATCTGCGGCTTTGCTTTGAACGCTCTCACTTTTAATGAGTAAAGTCTGTGCTTTTTGTTTGTTATAAAAAAAAAGATTACCAGAGCAAGGGCTGTGTGTTAAGGATAGAAAGTAACTAAGTGACTTCGCATCATAAATATGAACGCGCACCATTCAGTGCAGCGGATACAGCGTGTAATGCTATCATGCAAATTCTTGTGTAAAGTGCACCCAGGGTCAAGCAAGGGGTATGGGGTATGGCATACGATCGCTGGTTACAATCCCTCACCCCCCCCCCCCCCCCGATTGCTGTCTTAATAAGACCCCCCTGAATTATATACCTAAGATAGCATTAACTGAAAATCCTGTCAAACATAATGGGCAACATATCCATAATGAGCATGTCAATTAACCCCTGTAGACAAAGTTTGAGCGAATTCTGAAGATTCAAGATACTAGGCTACCTAAGTGAAGTGGTCATATTCCAACATGGTTAACTTTGCTTTGAAGGTGAATTAGCTATCCGTTTTTGCACTCAAGGCAAAGCACTACTCCTTCTTTGACCATCTCAGAAATTCCGCTTCAAAAGACCTCTAAACTGTGGAATTGGAAGCCAACCAAAATCTCATTTTTCCCACCCGCTTTTGATGGCTGTGGTTTCACCAACTATTACTCAGAGCGAAGAAAACGAATCAGGCTCAAATCACTGGGGCCTTCCCGTGGCCCTGATTACAGTCCCGAACTTCAAATTGTCCAAAACCCACAAAAAATCCGATGCCTGGAGACCACGTCTTGAGGGCGCGGACGAGTTGGTCTACATTCAGGATCGACACTAATCGGAGCGGGTTAGATTTAGCCTGGACACTGCCTTTAAGGGGGAGAGCCACACCCCATTAACTATGTCATAAAAACATTTTTAGCAAACAGTATTTATATGAATCGATAGCGTAAACCACGTAGATTCCATGGAATGTTTAAGCCTGATTCGTCTTCTTAGCTCTAAATCATATTTGGTGAAAGCACAGCGATCAAAAGCGAAAAATGGGAAAAACGAGATTTTGGTTGGCTTCTAATTTCACAGTTTGGAGGCCTTTTGAAGCGGAATTACTGATATGGACAAAGAAGGAGTAGTGCTTTTGCTTTGTCTTGAGTGCAAAAACGGATAGCTAACTCTCACCTTTGAAACAAAGTTAACCATGTTGGAATTTGACCTTTTCACTTAAGGAGCCTACTATCTTGAATTTTCAGAATTCGCTTACACTTTGCCTGCAGGGGTTAATTGACATGCTAATTATGGATATGATACGAATATCATGTTATCACTATTATCAGATTACCCAACTACCAGTGGCGTACCGAGGGGGGGGGCGGGGGGGGGGGGCGCCCCCCCCCCAAGAACGGCTTGCGAAATTTTTGAAAGTTACTTACATGAGTTGTAAAAATGTGCAAATGACTTGTTTATTTTTGTAAACAATTAAAATAATTTTTAAAATTTTTTAAAAATCCAAATTAGCCTTATAAAAAAAATTTTTTCGGGGACGTGGCTAACGCCACGCCCCCTTTTTCCAGGTTTTAGGGGTTGGGGCCCGCAAAATTGCTGAGAAGACCCCCTAAAATTTTTTCGGAGTGCGTGGCTAACGCCACGCACCTTCATTTGAAAAATTTTTTTTGCCGCGCCCCCCCCCCCGAGCCGAAATCCTGGGTACGCCACTGCCAACTACGACTCCCTCCCCTTTCGATTCCTCAATACGACCCCCCAGGTGTGGCGTGCCACACCCCACGCTTGACCCTGTGCATAACTGCACATATGTTAGCACTAGAGAATCTGGTACAATTGGACAACAATGTGGCCATTTTGATGTCGCTTCTTAGCACGAAACGAGCATTTTGCCTACCCTTTTAACATGTTTTTTTTTCTTGAAAAAGAATTCATTATTACTAATCAACGACGTAAAGTTTTGCAGGGAGAACATAATCTTATCATTGCCAATCTGCATTAGTCGATGCATGACATTCAAAAAAAGGCTGACAGATCAGCTGTTTTTCTACACGTTAGCTCCCAATGCAATCAAATTACCCCACATGTAAACAACAAAGAAGTTCCAATAATAAATCATACATGGCGTGCAGTATGCAAAGACACAAAGATGGTTGACTAATATGTGCTCCATGACGAAGGCTGTCTCCCAAATAGGTCGAAAGCGTGCAAGGCACATGGCGAACGGGCAATTGTCAGCCACGAAACGCGCGCGGATGACCGCTGGCCGAGCGTGCGCGCCCCATGGTTGACAATTGCCCGCGTGCGCGTCAGCCTTGCACTCTTTCAACCTATTTGGGCGACCGCCATCGTCACGAAGCAGATATTAGACTAGCAACGCACGACTATTTGATTCAAGTTTGCAGTTGGAAACAAAAAAAGTGCTCTATGACTTCGACAAAGAGTGCAAGCAAATCCCTTCAGCAGGCATTCGACGCTTGATTTCGCGTGGCGGTGCTGTGGAACGACGCGATATTCCCAACATTTCGGTGTGGAAGCAATTTACTGTTATTTACAAGATGTAAGGTTATTTTGTAAACATCTGCAGACTTTTCTTGGACGAGACAGTCCACAGGTCCCAAAAGCCCCTTAGGCTGCCCCAAGTGCGAAAAATTGGGAAAAATACTAGACGAGGAAAGGACTCGTGCAAGAGGTGTGGGTCACCGGTGATTCACATCGTTCTTGGCAGCATAAGTTCGTGAGCCACCGTTGGTCCACATCGTCGGGTTGATGCCGGTGCCTTTACCTTAAAACTTGCAAAAACTTGTAAAAATATACCTGCACTACCTCATAGCTTGATGTAATCTGTAAAAGCCTCAGCTAAGACATGCAATGTTTGGGCGGTAGACGGGTCAAATCAATCATATAGTATTCGGCGCCACTTTTTGTATCTTCGCTTAAAAAGGACAGAAATGATAATGGAATCTAGACCAAATTTGGCAGACATAATGTGTAGCGTTGGGCATGTGTTGGTAAGCCATTTCCTTCGGGACACGCGGATTGCTTTTATCGATTCGTTGATTTTTTACAATTTTTGTTTAGAGAATTTTTTCGCCCAAAAAGCATAGAAGGAATTATGGAATCTAAACCAAATCTGGAAGACATAATGTATGGGGTGGGGCGTGGTCTAATAATTCATTTTATTCCGGACACATCGATTGAATTTATCGATTTATCGATTTTTTTCAGTTTTTGCTTAGCAACATTCATGACAAGCTTAAAATATTAGCAAGAAGTATGCTCTGAACCAAACTTCGCATGAACTTCGACGATAAGTGTTACTAACTTTTTACATTTCCGTACTATAAAGTAAAACGAAAAATTCACGAGACAACAAAGCTACTGAGTACCAGCCAAACCTGCCGCGTAGCGGCAGAGCGGGTGGTGTTATTATATTCTGATATGAAAAACAGCGTACGAAGACAATACGTATTACAGTCTTTTTGGGTCTCAAACTTGATATTCTCACCAAACTTTGAAATTAAGGGAGGTTTTTTCAGATGATAGTGACATTTTCTTGTTACAAACCACTTTGTGGAATAACCAGCACGCCCTGGTATATGACATCCACATGATTACCGAAATTTCAATACTATTCACTTACTCGAGAAGTTCATTTAAATTGTAACGTACAGCAATATATAAAGCTTTTATTTTTTCATGCTATAACCGATTTAACCTTTTTTAACAACTTCATTTCCCCTTTTATAAAACACAACTGCAATAAAAACTTCTAACAACCGTCTAGAGTCCGCCTTTGAAAAACTTGGAAAACACATTCACCTCTCATAGTTAGTTTCTCAATGATAAATTTGCTGCAATCATCTATAGTCCGCTTTGTGAGACAAACCAGCATGCATGGTAGAGATGAAACTGATATATTGCTGCCTGTCACAAGGCTATAAAAATGCTATTTTCCCCAGAAAAGCGGGAGAAATGTTTGTTCTGAATATTTATATAATTTGTGGTATAAAAGAAAACAGAGCTTGGGCTTAGCACTGCAAACTTCTGGTAACTTCGTCGCCTGTGAAAAAAAGTTTTGCTTTCTACGAACATGGATTTATTCCTAATCAGTTTTCTGCTATTTCCCATCTTTCTATCAAGTGTAGCAGGGAGCAGATACGTATATTTGGATAAATGTGTTATGCTCCAGTGCTTATTGGAATGTTTTTATAAGGTAAAAAAAATTATTACATTTGCACTTAGTAAATTCGACCAGAAATACTAAGCGGCAATGATATCAAAAGTGTGATAGTGGAGGCGAGTGACTTTTCGAACTATGAGCAATTCCGGCACTTAGGTTAAGTGTCTGCGGAGGATGCGAAGTTTCCACTTTACGTCTACGTTACTATATAGATAGAACAAGAAATGCGAAGTATCAAAAGATTTGAAACATCTACAATTTTCGTAAACTTCCTCCACCGCTACCATTTGCAAAAATCAAAACTGCTCAAATAGCTTTTACCTCAATTTGCAAAGCTCAAAAACAGTCACTTATAGATCTGTATTTGTTTCGATAAAACCGGTCGACATAGTGTCTATTTAAGAGACAGTTACACTGTAAATTCACATTCCTGCTTAGAGCGATTTCGAAATTCCAGTGTAAATAGATTCGCAAATCTTTGCATCCAAAAGCCCAGTCTATAACGAGACATACTCCAAATTTATGTTCTCACCTGTAAAAATCTTCGAGTTGTTCTAGATGAGTTTGTCAGTCCTTGTTACATCGCCAAAAACTCATGATGACCTGGTAGCATTCGTAGGGAAGGTCTTTTTGATTTTTTTTTTGAGATTTAACTTCGAAATTCCGATAAAGAAATCTTGGCGGCCCTACGTTAGAACTTTACAGAGATAATGTTTTTATAAAACTTTGAATAGTTCTCAGAATTTACAAGCAAAAACTACTAGCTTGCACAGTTTCATTGTCATGTAAACAATAGTTAGGTCAGTGGTCTAATCCATAGATGCGATAGGTGGAGAAATTTCTCTTATCCCCTTCACTTTAGGGCCGGCATCTGGCTGATCCCTTTCACCTGAGTTTGACACTAGAATCAAGGCATATTAGCAGAATCAAACAGCTGTTACAATGACACTTTTTGTTTAGAAAGGAAATGTCGGCTGCTTTTCTTCTCACATCAGACATCAATACTGCAAGAGATTATCGAATCAACAGCGTTTTGTTGAAAAAACGCATTCTTGAGACCTTCTGCGCACTCAAAGTGACGTTGCTAACGAAACATAATCGGAAATCAAAGAGTGTCTGATTCTTTGAAAAATCAACATTGTATCAATGAATACGCACTGTCTCAAGAAAGAGTTAAGCAAGAGTAGAAAATTTGGACGAGCTAGTGATGGATGTATGTCTGTTGACAATACTTGTACCATATCTCCTTTCACTAGAGAGAATAATAAGAAATAAAAGACCAGTCAGATTACTCGTTTCTCAAGCTTTCGAATCATATATAAAAGTTCGAAAAAGACATTCTTACTTTGAAAAGATAATTACCCAAAAGTGAGTGATATTCTAGCTAAATAAAACTGCTCGTATCTCGATTTACAGAAAAGCTAGGGAAAAAGAGACGGTCTACATCGATTCCTCGTGTTCTTAGCTATCGAATGGTGCAAAAAGTGTTGGTGCGCAAAGCTTTCCCTGTCCAAAAAAGTCTTGCTCCGGCGACCCCTAGTAAGCCGGTGCGGAGCAAGTTAGTATTAAAAATCTCCACCTCAATTTTGAAAAGCCAAAAGTTTTTCCACCCAACAACCTAAACAGCATTAGAAAGCTCACAAAAAGGGATTCGACGTAGATTGTCTCTTTCTCTCTAGCTCCCCTCTACCTAGAGATACATAGCATTTTAGCTAAAAACATGTGTTTTTGTGAGGAAATTTTTATGCGAAGAGTGAATGAAAATGCCCAGTTGTCTAACCCAATTGCAGAGCAAAACTTTGTTAGTAAAGGTAAACCGTTTCTTTTTATCTAGCTTTCCTCTTTCTTCCGGAAATGGAGCTCAAAGTGAGTGCATAAAATCAGCTGATGCTGGAGCTAGGTATGATTTTTTATACCTGAATTCAAAGGAGAGCTGAAAGAAAAGAGACGGTCTACCTCGATTCTGTACAGGGCTCCTAAATTGCAGAGTCCTTTGCACCAGCGGTCGCGCGACCGCGTCGAGCCCGGGCATTTTGCCGGCGCCGGAGCCATCGATCGAAGCGGCGACATTGATGCCCGGGCGCGACGCGGTGGCGCGACCGCTGGTGCAAACGACCCTGCAATCTAGGAGCCCTGTAAGTTCCAAGCTTCCGAATGGTATGTTGACTGATGAAACATAGAGCTTTCCTGAGTCAAAAAAGTCTTTGTTGGATGACCTTGCAAAGCCTAAGCATTGAGGAAATCTTAATATTACACCACTGTACCACTTATTTTCCTTCTTTTCACTCCCACTCCTATTAGACATGTAAGCTTGCCTCAGCATTCATCTTAAGCGTACCCCCTTCACTTTTCTTGGTCAAAAATAGCCAAAACCCCCTTCACCTGGAGGGATTCTGCTCCCCCTATCGCGCTAATGGTCTGATCTGATTAGGAATGAGCACCTCAAATAGGCACCGCCGAGCTGTCTGGTGGTCCTTTCGTCCTACTGTTGTACATAGTTGGAACCAGTAGTGCGCGGGAGCGATGCCTAATCGAGGTGTTCGTTCCTCCACCCGTTTGATCTGCCCTTGCGAAGAAGTGGGCTTACCCTGATCTAATATTAGGATAGTACCTTCAATAAGGACAATTCACTAGCCTACTGTAATTATGTTTACATACTAACTTTTGTAACTTCTTTCTGTTCGTGATTCAAAATGTACTTCATCTTTTCACATTAGGTCCTCCCTATTTTTTCTCTTGCTTGGAGTAGGGCGGGCAACATTCTGATTAAGTGCGGGCACCATGAGCGAAATGCTGTGTGTCAAGAAATTTCTCTTTCTTCCCGTACTTTCTCAAATAAGCACGTCATGAGCAATTTGCTGCAAATATCAAAAGTAATTTTTCCTGTAATATTGCAGGGCTACATAGTTGGAAATTGTGAAAAATCGACGAACTATGGAGTGATAACGACAATCGGGATAGCGTGCATATGTTATTACCCTGGTGAAAAGTTTGGTGAAATTGGAAAGAGACATTGAACACGTAACTTGCAAAGCACACTTACGATGTCTCCTTGTGCGTGAATTTCTCAATTTTTGCCAATAAAGCAGTTACTTCAAGATGCAAGTTGTTATGTCAAAATTTTTATGACAGATTTCGTAGAATTGAAACGGAAAAAATTTGAGACGGAATTTACGTGCAAATTCACGGTACAGTTTATCCATTATATTATAAATCATAGACGATGCAAGAAAAAAAAACAGAACTACGCTGCAACTAGTCACATCTCATAGAAAATGCTTATAGCTAATAAAGAGATTTTGAGAAAAGTTTACAGCAAATCGCTAACGACCAATTTAATCTTAACAATGATAGTCATACCACAACTACAGTATTCACATAAACTCATGGTTGTATCTTGCAGAGGTAGGAATTTCACCGCTTTTTTATCTCCTTGGCTTCCCTGGGGATTCTTCAAGCAGAAATTGGTAAAACTTTTGACAAACGGAAGGCTATTCCGGTCGTCAGTCAAAAGATGGGAGGGAAAGCACCAATATATCCCGCAGGAGTTTGTCATTATTCATTGCCTGTACCACTCTTGAACGCTGCTAAGGAAATCAACCTGGTAAGCCACGTGTGAGTATCTCAAATAATATGATTATCATTCTCAATATTTTCAAGATTCGTAAAGCTTTTCGACTTGTAATCAGCAATTGAATTTCCTGAAATTCAGAGCCTATTCGAACTTCTCGTCTTGTGGAAGATCTAGACAAATGAGTAAGACATCAAAAATCCTTATTTATTTCTGAGTTGTGAGAATGCAACTTACCTACTATGAAAGTCGTTATTCGTGATATCCAGTGACTATTCATTATTCTATCTTGATAAAAACCCAAACCCCGAAGCATGTTTAACACTCAGCACCCGATCTCACAAAAATACCTTGGGGTAAACTTCGGAGCTTTATCCAGGCTCGAGCAAGGGGTCTGGCACACAACCGCTGGAGATGCCCCCAACCCTCCTCGAAGTTCGAGCATATGTCAAGAGGCGCGATTTTTATTGCCATATGGACATCAATTAAAGCGTTTTCCGTGTTTAACAACGTAAAAGATTTCAAATTTTTGAGAAGGTGTGAGAAACCGTTGCCAGGGGATGCTTAAAGGTACCGTCCACCTAAAATGGAGGTTGGCGAGATTATGATGGCATACTATGTGGGCACCACTAGAACCCTCAAGCTTCGTCGCAAAAGACTGCTTCTGGAGCAGGAAATCCGCTCCGGAAGTAGCAAAGCGACCATGGTCGCCGCGCCCACTTGCATGCTATATCTCGCCTGCGCTTGTTGCAGAGGGTTCTCGAAACAGGGACTTTTGGGGGGTTTCAAAGATTTTCGACTCCATATTCGGAATCAGGGCTTTCAGAAGGCGTAAAGGAGACAACATTTAATTCGAGATTTTGGGTGGACGGTGCCTTTAACATTATATCCTGAGATAGATTAGCGAAATGAATGTTGGAGGTCAAATCCCACGAAAATGCAACTAATCGTAATTTCATGAAGTTTCCAAGGTGTCAAACTTAGCTGATAGCATCTCCAGATGATCATTAAGGTAGAGCACCCCGTGTTTTTTTTTAAATTGCATAGCTCTAAATTAGGCTGCTGTACTGTGAACTTTGAAGAAATTGCGTCTTTTGGCCGCCCCCCCCCAAATTCTGTCTCAATACCTATCCAGCCCCATTATCGTTCGCTTACCGTAGGCGACAAAAGCTTTACCAAGCATATTTAGTAAATATTCGCACGTATCATGAAATTTTGACTGATTTTGGTTTTTAGCTTCTATCTCCTTCATTTGTAAACATTAACGAACAGTTCAGGTATTGATGCGAAGAGCATGAGTTCCTCTCTTATGCAAAATTTCGATCATACAAATTTGTTAAGAATTTAAAGAGTTATGAGTTTTTGAAAATGGCCGATCACGGCACGATGACCGACCACCGTAGGATTCTTAGACGAGGACACAAACCTGTTGTAGAACTCATGTGATATATGTAATTTAACTAATGTTGTGATGATGTAATTTGAACTTGTTAACGCGTCAGTAATAGTGTAATTTGTATTTTCTTGCTTTCGCGCCTTCCGTCGCGCGCCCCTGGTATACACCAAGCTGGTACCACAACGGGTATAACTGTTTATCAGATAGTAGCGGAGCAGCCGCTGACTATTAACAGTGAATATGCGGAACAGCCGCTGACGATAATGGTAATAATCGAACCAACACCAGAACTGAGTATTCAGGCCCTTTTGCCACTATTTTGGGCGTGGATAACCTGAATGCTCCTTCTGGCAAATAACAGTATCATACAGAATCAAGGATTGCCTACATGAAAGTAGGCGCCGCCAAGTAGACTATCAAGCACAGTGGAGGGGTGACCTGGCGGCTTAAGTGGTCAGTGAACAGTAATGTCTGTCAACGACAAACTAGTGGATACTGAATATAGCATACAATATGACTCTACAATGGTAAAGGTCGTAGATTCGCAATTAATCTACGACAGTGCGAACGAACTTTCGGTACAACCTAATATTTTACCCTAGAAGAGACAATTTTAACGAATATCGTGCTATGTAGAGAAAAAGCTTGGCAATGGCAGCGATATAAAATCACAAATATTTGAATGCTTTGAAGGTAAGATAATGAGGTGTGGCAGCCACAGCTTCGTATTCTTCAATAGCCAAAATCTCGCAGGTTTTGTGACAGCGATTGGAGCTGAATTTGTTTTCTTTTGTTTGCGCAATAGTTGCTGAAAGCACAATCACTGTAAGCTAGAAATCAAACAAATGAGATTTTACCTGCTCCTAATTGCATAGTTTGATGGTTAGTTGAAACAGGATTTATTGTATGACTAAATAAAGAGTAGCGCTTTGTATCGAATACAAAAAGAGGTAGCTAATCCGCTTTGAGATACAGTTAACCAAGTTTGATAATGACCTTTTATCTGAGTGCCGCAATATCGGAAGCCCTCAAAATCCGCTACAAGGCCACCGTTATTTGACAAATCCCTGAAAATTAACAAAATAAATTAAAATAGCCTTTTTGTATTGTTTGCTCGAAAATCGTAACTTTTCATAGAGACGCTCACTCAGCGCAAACTTTGCACTGTTAGAAAGAGCTTTCAAAAGAACCTACATCATCGACTGCTCCGATTTTTGTTGCAAGTTTCCGATTTTTTATGACCCTACACGAAAACTTCAAATTTTGAGTGATTTTGATTTTGAGCTTCTCTCTCCTTCATTTGTACACATTGACGAACAGTACAGGTACAGACGCAAAGAGCATGAGTTCCTCTTTTACGCAAAATTTTAGTATGAATTTGTTAAAATTTAAAGATATGAATTTTTGAAAATGGCGCGAACGAACTTTCGGTATGACCTAATATAATCGTTTCTTCTTCCCTATGCAAGTGGAAAATCCTGCGAACACATTGGGTTACGGTAACAAGCTAAGTCTGCACTGCTACGTGAATAGCGAGGGAAGGTGGCGATATTAAATGTATTCGATAGCATGAAGCTCCTAATCTTTACAAAATGTTTTGAGCCTGAGTGCTCTTCTCTAGTCTGAGATATTGAAAGCGAAAAATGGGACAAACGAGATTTTGGCCTGCTCTTTTCTATAGTTTGTAGGTTGTTTGGGGTGGGATTCCTAATGTCAGCAAAGAAGTAGTAGTTTTGTAGTGAGTGCAAAAAAGAAGCAGTTGACTTAAATTTGAAACAAAGTTGACATGTTCAAATACCACCTCAATTAGGTGGTCCAGCAGTTGGAAACCTTAGAGTTCGCTGGAACTTGCCCACAAGGGAGTTTTTGACAGACTGAGTAAGAAAATGATCCTCTCGCTTTCAGAGCTCTTTTATCATGCCTACTGTACGTATGTGATGGTAAGTCAAAACATCAATGTGCTAGTACTTTGTATGACGCATATCTGACATTGGTAACGAATTCGTTACCTTTAACATCACTATCACTAGACAGCGACCCCCCCCCTATCCTTGACCTCTCTATGCGACTCCCCAAATATGACACGCCAGGCCTTATGCTTGACACTGGTTACATCGTCCTTGAAAGGATTAGCGGGAAATGGAGAAAATGTATTGAGACAGAATCTACCAGTTATTCCAGAAATCTGTCATTGAGGGTAGTGTTCAGGCACCATTCTTCTTGAAGTATGCGAAGCATCAGCTTGCATACTTTTGCGAGGGAACGCGTTGTGAGGTAGCATTTCGTCATACAAGTCGTAGGCAATTTCGGTAACAGAATCTGGGAAATGAATAATTTAGCCTTTAATGCACCGTAGTGCTACCTTGGAGCAGTGGTACAATCAGGCCCCATCAGTTTCATAGTGCGATCTTCATGTGTCAAGAGCGTGGACGCTGCCTCTGAACGGCATGCCGCTTTTGAGGTACATATAGCAAATTCTCAAATTAGCAAAAAGACGAGATTAGATGGAAATTTACAGAAATACAAAACTTTAGCACAAGTCACTGCAGCAATCTACGGAATTTGTTTGAGCTTAATGAGAGTCGTAGCGATATAACAATTAGCACCAAACATCTGCTATATGATATTATGTAGGTGTCTGAAAATTTGATCTACTTAAAGTAGAAAAAGTGACACACCTACCTTAAAAGGGAATGTATTTCACTAAAAACGGACTTTCCAATGGTAATATACAGGGTCTCCCAAAAGTATGTATGCACTGTTTGATCGTCAATATCTCTCTTCCAAAGAAGTCTTTTGCTTGGTTCAGGTACCTGTTGTAGAGCTGGCTTCAACTTAGATTTGCAGTATGGAACGAATCACCCATCTCTCTTCATTACTGTAGGATTACGGTAGAAACTTGAAACATATGGTGTCAATGTGGAAAAAACTGCCGCTTCAAAAATTTTCAAAAAAAATGTGAAAACTAGTGTAATGGGGATTTTATGGACGCTGAGTTCAATACTCAACTGTTCACAAGATTGCGAAGCTTTCTAAATGGTGTAACTGCACTTTTTAGGAACAATGAAAAAGGGCCGCTACTGCTTCAATGAAGCATCATAATAATCTGGAAACTTTGCAGTTAGAATCAGAAACTCTAATTAGCCTAGTGTAAAAGTTTTCAGGCTGATAGCGTTTTACACAGCAGTGGCGTAATCACAGTATTTCTTCACATAGTCATTAAAAACCTCTTTTTCACCAGTATCAGATGAGCGAGCGGTTGACTCCTTTGTGATGCCGACTTCGACGTGTGCTTCCAATTCCACTGTTACATGTCATTGAAAGATTGACGACTTGATCAAAGAGAGACGTGGAAGGAGATAGTAGGGCTCGAGCTCAAGAATGGCGTTGTCCGTTCTAAGGTGCCGTGGTCGCCATTTGCACACTGATTGGTCTTGAGAGCATTTACTGCATATAGCGGGGGCTTATATATCCATCCTAACTATGTGGAGTTTGAGAAATCAAACAACGTAATATTGGCTAAGGAAAACAAAAGCAATGCTGATTCACTTCCCGAAATGTTTAGCTAGAAACATAATACAATGAAGGAATTCTGTATAAAGACAGACTAACATAAGGTGACACAGGGCTAAGCGAAAATGACGCACTGAGGCTATTCATGTAGTTTTCTTATACGATAATTCATGAGCAAGGTCAAGCGTTGGGTGTGGCACGCCACACCTGGGGGTCGTATTGAAGAGTCAAAAGAGAGGGGGTCGTAGTTGGGCTATCTGATAATAGTGATTCTCCTTTCAATAACTCAAATTAGAGAGGACCAGTCAAGCTCAAACCACTTTTATGTAAAAGTAGCCTATCATCAAATATATTTATCCATGTCGCCTTCTACCGCGATTTAACAGAGCAGACTAGGCACGTTACCATAACCCAACATTTTCGCAGCATTTTCCGTTGCACGTAAGTGAAGGAAAATGATTATATTTTTCCCTAGAAGATACGATTCCAGATGATTTTTCTACTGTGTAAAGAAGAAGGTTGAGCGTTAGCAACGATATAAAAAACGCAAAGATACGAATGGTTTAGAGGTAGGTTAATGGGGTGTGGCGCAAACCCTAAAAAGCTGTGATCACCACAGTTTTTTAGGGGTTGTGCCACACCCCATTAGCTTACCTCCAAAGACAAATTTAGGAAGCAATTAGGTACAGTTCGATAGCAAAAATCATTGTAGTATTTGTAGAAATGATTAGAGCTGAATTCCTTTTCTTTCACTTGAGCAACAGTTGCTGGAAGCACAACCAATTCAAGCGAAAAATGGGATAAACGAGATTTTGGCTGGCTCCTAAGTCCATAGTTTGATGTTTGAACCATAATTCATGGTATAGGCTGATTGGGAGTAGTGCTTCGTATTGAGCAGAAGAAAAGGTAGCTAATTCGCTTTTGAAATATAGTTGATCATGTTTGAAAACGTCCAGTTCACTTGGGTGGCCCAATATTGGGAAACTCCAATTCGTTAAAACTTGGCCCACAGGGTTCTTTGACGTGAAAATCACATGTATCTTACTAATTGTGCTAGGTAAAGCCTTTATTTCATGTCTGTGGCAGACAAACGCAAATGGGAGGGGGGGGGGGGAGGGGAGTGTCGAAGCAGAACTTAGGGGGAGGTCGTATCCGGCGGTTGTGTCACACCTCTTGCTCGACCCTGGCTATAGCTTCTTCATGCACAAACTTTACCGCATCTTCGCGGCACCGCAAGGGTCCTAGGATTACACCACTTTATTCTGCTCACTTCTTCCTTCACACCTACTATTTTTGAGAAAATTTTGGAAGTTAAATAATGTATCTCATTAGTGAGTTTTAATCACCAGACGCCGCGCGCGACAGACTAGCAGTATTCCACACTTTTAGAAAATTTGCGTCAAAAAAAACCCGCGTCTTAAAAAAGACGAGAACAACGCACACTATTGAGTGACTATCATGTGAAAGTTCCTTTTTAACATCTATAGCAAATAAGTAGAACGCTGATGCATCCGGAGAATTTACAGTGACCAAAAAAACGAAAGATAGCGAAGAAAATTTCGATTATTCTAATCAAAGGCTTTGTTCACTACAATAACGTGGGTCATGGCAACTTTTTTCGGGAATTCTGCCATTTCCTTTGAGGAAAGCCATCATTTCAGAAATGCGACCGTTCCGCGCCTGTAACTGTAACGTCGCGTCGCGGCAACTTCTAACTGACACCCACAAGTAATGGACGTCCCCCATTTGTGTATAGGCTATGCGTGATCGCGAGAGTCGGTGAGTTTGCGACCGTTGCACATGCACGATGGTACAAGGTCTCAAACCAGTTAGAAAATCCCATTCTGTTCAAAAGTTTCAGGTATTGGAAGCTGACATTCTGATAGTAGAAAAGTGTATGAAAGGAGAAAGCAAACTGAGAAAGCTCAATGCGAGTGCAATTGCCACAAATTCACCGAATCTCGCGATCACGCAGAGCCCTATACTATAGCATGATGCAAGTCTTAGCAAGTTTGTATCTACCTAGTGCGATGTTTCGACCAGTCAATGTGAAAAAATAATAGGCAACAGAGAAGAGAAGTACAGAGGATACTGTAGCGCGAAGATAGGATGTGCTCTGCCACAAAACGACATTGGCTGTAAAAAAAGGTTTTTGAGCATATAAAACACGAATTGAGCACTACATACAAGAGGTACAAACTGATTAACAATACATGATTACGAATATCCATTAACAACATTAGTCTCCTCCAGACACCACATACAATTCTTCCTATAAGAGATTTCCATGGTAAGTAGTAACAAAATCGCAGCATAAGAAATTCTAAAGACAACAACAAATGTCGCTAATGAGGTAAAAACTAACTACATCACATTTGGTTCAGAATCGATAGAATATAGCATCGCTGGAATTTGGATAAAAAGCCTAGCTCATAACCAAGTCGCGCAAGTGAGGCAGCAGCACTGCGATGACTTTTCATCGCATGAGGAATATGATAGAGGTGTATAAAAGCTTGGGAACGTGTACGAAGGCTCGATAAGTCGAGTAAGGCAGCTCAAACAGGTAGATATTTCAAAGTGAGTAAATGGATTACACATAAAAATTACTAAGACACATGAACTGTTTTTGCTATACACTACTATGATTGCCTATCTAACTGAGAAAGCGCGAAATCCACAAGGACATCAGCCGCGCCATCGTTATTCGGTAAGGTTGCAGCCTAAAAGCTCAGTACTTCACTCAGCAAAAAAAGCAATCTATATTGAGCGAATGCCTGGATAAGTGGACAGTTTCTCCAGCAATGCAAAAGAAATGCCACAAAATAATACCAAAATTATCGAGTACTCCGACGATTTAAATTTGAAAACTAATTGGGCCATCAGACTAACCAATCTAGCCGCAGTCTGCGAGTGCTCGCGAGCGAGTTGCCGAGTTCGTGGGATACCATCGGAATTCAACACAATATCTCTTGCACGGTCCACATCTCCTCGTTCAGCAAACTTCCTAGCCATCAAGACATTTAGCTCTGGGTATTGTTGAGCAGCCAAAATTACGGGACCGGTAGCGAGACCTAAACCCATAGCGTGATTTTCAAAAAAAAATTGAATAAAAACGCCCATGGTTTTCTCGATAAAAAATGGATTTCCCCATGAGGTTCTAAGGCCGTTTTGGTCGAGCCGGCTTATCTAAAAGAATTTGAAAAAGACAATCGTTTTGGTCCCTTCAGTGCTTTACAGCTATGTTGAGAATGCGTACATTAGACAGACCTTCACTACATAAGCGCTGATCAACACTAAACCGTTCGGCGAGAAGGGTCACTTTGACCAGAAAGACTTACACTCTTAATATGTGCTGTGGTCTACGTAGAATAAACCTTTAAAGGCAGCGTCCAGGCAAGTCTGGACCTATGGGGATTTAGGTGGAAAGTACTTTTGGGGCCCTAACTAAGCCACTGCCCAACCGGCAGCTCAGGTAGTGCCCTAATGGCTGAGATATTCCCCTCGAAATTGGACCCGGCGACCGTGTTTCGCATGGATTCATGGCGCAAAGCGTGGATCCTGGCGCGAAACTGCCATGCCATGCAAATACGTTCGCGGGGCCAGTTTCGAGGGGAATATCTCAGCCATTGGAGCACTACATGAGCTGCCGCTTGGGCAGTGCCTTAGTTAGGGCCTCAAAAGTACTTTCCACGTAAAACCCCATAGATCCAGATCTGCCTGGACGCTGCCTTTGAGACTCAACTTTTCGATTAGAGAACACATCATTGATATTAAAATAAGCATAGAAAAAGTGCGTACCTAATTTCAAGTCTGCAGCAACTGGCTTCCCAACAGTGTCTGAGGAAGCAATGAAATCGAGGAGATCATCAACGAGCTGGAAGGCTAACCCAAGATGACGTCCATACTCCGAAGCACGCCATTGCAAATCAGCACTGGCTTCTAGAACAAAGTAGTATAAACTACGAAATTCTCAGAACAAAATTCAACCAAGTAGGCACGAGACTAGAAAGGCAAACTGAATTTGAACAAAGGGCATCTTGTTCTAACCTGCAAGCAAAGCCACACTCTTGCAACTATTTGCAAATAGACTTGCCGTCTTTTTGAAAGTCTTCTGCATATACTGTTCCATCCTAGTTTCAGGCACTTCTGCTTTTGCGGTCATTTGCATAAACTCACCCTTAATGGCAACACAAAACTCAATCTGATGGAGCATCAGATTCAACAAAAAAAAAATCCAGATATAGAAGTAGAAGTACCATGACCAAGTCCTCAATTATTGACGCCATAACAGAGATCACATTTGGTCGACCGATTGAGCATAATATCTGAGTCGCGCGAGCAAGTATGAAATCACCAACAAGGACTGCCTAAATTTTGAGATTTAAAACTTTCTACGTAAACAAACCTTGCGTAAAAAGTTTGAAATGACTCACCATTTTATTACCCCAAATGGCATTAACCGAGGCATGCCCGCGTCGAATATCAGCACCATCGATCACATCGTCATGTACTAGGCTTGCAGTGTGGATCATCTCACTAATCATGCCAATCTTGTACTGGTTAATGGATATTTCTTCGGAACCACATTCTAACCTCAAACACTTTCATTGATCTCTCGTATGTAAACTGTGTCACCTTACCTTACATCTTTGGGTGCACTAACGTTGCAGGCATTAGCCATTAGCAGAGCAACTGTTGGTCGAAACATTTTACCACCCTGAAAAACTATACTGGTAATTCAGTAATTTGTTCAAAATTGGTTGACAAAGAGATAAAAGTGATGTTTGAAAAACACTGTGGGACTTTAAAACGAAACGCGTACCAAAAGAGAAACTGAGTATTTTTAGAGATATAACCGAGCCAGACAACTAAAGTTCTACAATGAATAACTCACGAAAGGAAGGGAAAAGCGTATCACCTGTTCGAAGTAGTATTTTGCCATCTTCTCAAGGCTCGACGTGAACTCGCTGCTTGTCGTTGGAATGGCATTTGCAGGACTATAGCTTGCTGTTGGTAGAGGCGCATCCGTAATGAATTGATTGGCTATCTCAAGCTGGAAGTAATTTGGAATACCAAATGTTTAACACTGGATTAGGATGGATGGAGAAAGGAGAAAGAATTCACCGCTATCAGCCAAGAAATAAGATTACCTATTTCTAACATTGTCTAATTCAGCATTCATTGCATGCTGGTTACAAAACGATAACAATTTGCACGCAGCTACGGTAAGTGTACGGTGAAAGCGTAAATTACAAATTTGTTTTGATTTTACGCTGTTTATCATATTTTGATGAGTAAAAAGGGTTGCTTCTTTAGGAAGGCCCGTTGAAGGAGTGTAAATGTACCGTGACCCAGGAATAAAAAGATGAAGAACTTGCCCTAAATTAAGTACAAATTCCGAGCCAGTATGCCTTTAGTGTCTCCTCAATTATACCGGCTGCGTAAAGCTTGCAACTATTCAATACTTGCAAGCAAACTGCCAGTTCAGAATGTTGGAGCCAAGATAAAAACCAAAATTCACTGGGTCCTTCAGATGATGCCCAAAGCTGTGTAAAATCAGGTGTAGGTAACACTATGGGGATTACGAAAAATGATTCCCACCTGCATATCCTTCAGCTTCTCCGTGACGAACGTTGGCATAACCGGTTTCTTCACTTGGGCAGCTGAGATAGCCGCACAGTAGTGGCGCCGCAGAAGTGGAGGAACGGCTTTTGTGTGATGCCGTGCTATGGCATACGCCGACCTCGTCGACGTTGTGGACATCCTGTATACGATAAGTAAATTTTGTAGAATTAGATCTGACGTGACAACAACTGCGTGCGGAAGACGGGAGGGGGCAAAAAATGAAAATTTGTGAACCATCTTTCAGTGCGAGTACCTTCTTCTTACAAGTACGACACTTTCCCAGACATGTGCTGTCACCACCGTTTCAGCACTATGTTAAAGGCAGCGTCCAGGCAGATCTGAACATACGAAGTTCTGATGTGGAGAGTAATTTTGGGGCCCTAACTAAGACACTGCCCAAGCGGCAGCAAATGGTGAGCTCACATTTGAGATATTCGCCTCCAAACTGGACCCCGGGATCGTATTCGCATGGATTCATGGCCGACGCGCGTGGGTCGTCACGCAAAACTGATGTGTCGTGCCATGAATCCACGCGAATACGATCCCGGGGTCCAGTTTAGAGGCGAATACCTCAACTGTGACACCATTTGAGCTGCCGCTTGGGCATGTTTCAGTTAAGGCTCCAAGATTACCCTCCAAGTGAGGAACGCCCGTAAAAGGGCTCGGACCTGGGAGGAGTTGCAGGTGCGCTCCATAGCCATTTCGATTAGAGCACCGTTTTTTCAACTGGAGCGCACTATCTCCAAACACTTCCACGCCGATCTGGGTAGTTTTTGAGTACAGGGCTTTACAACCTAAGTGTCCCACCCGCCCCGCTAGGACGCCACGCTTAGGTCCGCGCAGCGTTCGTGGCGCTGGCTGCGCGTCGACTGAAGCTTGGCGAAATCCGGGCAATACGCAGCAAACGCCGCGCGCGGCCTGAGCGAGGCGGCCGCGTTGGAGGAGCCGCGCAAGCGAAACTTGCGACTCTCAGGTTGAAAAGCCCTGTATACGTATAGTCTTTGACATCTTTGTGGGAATTTGACGGTAAAATGTGGACAAATCATGTCAGAGGATCAAAACTGCCAATTCTTTGTACGATAAGACCCGCTTGCGTGCATTTCATGCGTAGAAAAAATTCTGTGAAACATCAAACCATTTTGCCGCTTAACTTTGAAGCACAAACCCACAAGCCCGCCAGAAATTTGAAATCCTTGAGAATGTTTTGCTCGAAATACATAAGTTCCAAGCATGCTGGATTTTTTGTGCATATTCGACCGACCCTACATGCGTTTGGACTCTTGTCACATGTATTTCCACGAATATATATATTAGGTTGTCCGGAAATTAATGCCTGTTTTAAATTTCAACCGCACTAAGTCATACACTTCTCATCACTAAATAGGTTGCAAAGTACCATTCGATAGAGCAAAGTAAGCTCTACAAGATGGCCATCTTGCTTTTGCAACAGCTCTCATCCATCTCGAGTTTCGAGCCGAAAACTAAAAAGACTCAGCAGTCCGAAAAATCGAAAAAAATCGTAACTCAGTTCATAAAAAACCTACGAAAATTCTAACTTGTTCACACAAACACTATCTACATAAGACATCAATATACGCCGTTGCCGTATTTTTTTCTCTGTTAGAAACCAAGAAAACGGAAATTTTCATGCATTCGCCAAAGTGATGCTGTGCCGTTCCCACATAGGTAGTTGTATACCACAAGCCTGTAGAAGTACAGACTTAAATTTTCAGCTCTCTACAAGCTTTAGTTCTCGAGAAATACCGAATATAGCTTTCCCTAGTTAGGTGGTCCAAGCTAAAATTCAAATTTCTCGAGAACTAAAGCTTGTAGAGAGCTGAAAATTTAAGTCTGTACTTCTACAGGCTTGTGGTATACAATTACCTATGTAGGGACGACACAGCATCACTTTGGCAAATGCATGAAAATTTCCGTTTTCTTGGTTTCTAACAGAGAAAAAAATACGGCAACGGCGTATATTGATGTCTTATGTGGATAGTATTTGCGTGAACAAGTTAGAATCTTTGTAGGTTTTTTATGAACTGAGTTACGATTTTTTTCGATTTTTCGGTCTGCTGAGTCTTTTTAGTTTTTGGCTCGAAACTCGAGATGGATGAGAGCTATTGCAAAAGCAAGATGGCCATCTTGTAGAGCTTGCCTTGCTCTATCGAATGGTTTTTTGCAATATATCTAGAAATGAAGAGTGTATGACTTATTGCGGTTGAAAGTCAAAACGGGCATTAATTTCCGGACAACCTAATAATATCTATGTTCTCAATGGATCTCAATGATAAGTAAGATCTGCTCCAAGTTTCAAGGTTTCCAGATTTCCGGATTAGTATGAACGCAGCCTACGGCATGTGCCTAAGAACCCGTCCTACGAAAAACTACGAACTTGTCCCGAAGTGATGCTCAGTGAGAACATGGCAGCAGGCCAAGTTCTATGTTCAGCACATTGGTCAGCTCTCGCTCAAAAAAATTCTCATTAATTTCAATTCCAGTAAGTAAAGTTTCATAGTTAACTTAGTATAGCACAAGTTTCAAAATTTGTTTGTTTCTAGAGAATTCCTGAGGTTGACAGCTGGGCAAATTAATTTTGTACATTCAAAACTATTCACTAACTGCAAAAATCCCGGTTTTTCCATTTAGCAAAACGTTACAGTCTATAAAGGTCACCAGCATAAAGTTGCCATTTTCCACCCATTTTTTCTTCAATTTTCAATCTAGGCATCATCGACAAGCTTATCGAACAACATCAGCAATGATGATTTACGACTATGCAGCGCTTTTGAAGCTCATGAGAAAAGGCGACGATTGCTATCAAGCGCAAAATTGAAATATGACACATTCGATTTCTTTTTTTTAGCTCTCATTGCTTCAAAGACGTCGATCTAACAAGTTTTCCAGCAGATCTCAGGAAAGAATTTTATGTTTTCGAGATAAGTTATGTAATTACAAGACAGTTATAGGTCGTCTCAAGAAAAAAAAAAGACAAAGCAACACCGTAAAGGATGTTTTTGAAGGAGTAGGAAGGACTGAAACAAAACTGTTGCCAGAATTTGATTGGCCACATGCGAGCCGTAAAAAGAGTTCGCACACGAACACCAGTGCTAAATCCATCCCAATTTAGCGCTAGCAGCCCTAAGATACTTCTAAAAGCTGCACAAAGTGGATCCTCAAGTGGTGTGAACTCAAAGAGAAGTTAGAGCAGCCGAGACTAACCCAAAAACGGAAGTTCAAGAAAGTTACTGACAATGAGTTTCAGGCGTAAATTCAGGCAAATGTTATAGAGGGTAAATGCTAACTATGGCTGGGCTAGATAGTTGCATGGGTTGTTCAATCTTGCTACCTTAGATTCAATTCAAAACAGCAATTGAGAAGGTCAAAAACTCATGAAAATGCAGTTAAGTACAAATTCGTAAGTATTTTGGTTAGTTTTCCAGCAAAAGCCATCAGACTTAGCAAGTGGTAACCTCAGACAGATAGTAATCCAATGCACTTTATCTGGTTTTTTTGAAGACGCGTATAGCACTACACTGGAGTTTTAAGTTAGTGACAGCCGGAGAAATCGCGCCTCTTGATCGTCTCCCCTTTTTTCGTTGTTGGACCAAAAGCGTTGTTGCATAACTCTAGTGAGTAGAGTAAAATAAGAACCAAAACAAAGGTCATATGTAGAAGAACACAAAGCAAAAGTATTGTTGAGTGATGCATGAACGCCAAATCATGAGAACCATAGGGTATGATGATATGTCCTGACAGCTTGAGAAGAGGAAAAGTACATACAAGCGGAATGAACCATAACATTCTATTATTTTGCACATGGTCCCTCTCCCAGTCTTCCATCTCTTTGGAAAGTTTGTGGAACGCTAAGTGTTAGGAGATAGTGCGCCCCACTTGAAAAAACGGTGCTCTAATCGAAATGGCGATGGAGCGCACCTGCAACTCCTCCCAGGTCCGAGCCCTTTTACGGGCGTTCCCAAGTGAGATTCCTATAGGCCCAGATTTGCCTGGACGCAAATAAGTCGTAAATATTCCGCATTTCAGATGCACGAAGCCAAATTTAATGCGGACTACAAAGAATATGGTGTTTGATTCTCGCACAAAAGTCACTGTTCTTTGAGAAGACCAAAATAAAAACTTGAAATTTCTAGAAAAAGCGAAAAAGACTGGCTCAACCATAACAGTTATAATGTAAATTACTGAGAGTGGCATATATTGTCTATTAGTACACAGTAATTTTTCTAAAAAACCGAAGAAGTGTCCCACTGTTGCAGATCACGCGACTTGTTGATAAGATAAATCACTAAGGAACAAAAGTGCAAACTGAGTCCAGAAAAAACTGGCACAAAAAATCGACAAACGGCACTTTACGGTTCCAGAAACTATTTTGGAGAATCTCAAAGGAACAAGCATTGTTGCAGTGAAGAGGATGACGAGATTGGGCATGAGCATTGTTCCAAAATTGGTACCTTCGGACCAAGAATCCGAAAACAAAAAAAATTCCAGTAGACTGAATGATAAGATAGCTTACGATTAGTCTCAGGGTTAGTTCGCAGCATCCATAGATCGATAAGATGGATAGAAACCAGTTTCTCAAGTTATCAACACAGCTTTATTTTGCTTTCTATAGGGATTCATGAAACCATTTCGCAAAACAACGGTATAATATAGATCATGCATCACAGCTACAAAGTTCTTGGTGACGGACATGTTTGGACATTTGGCGGATATAAAGAAATGGAAAGAATGTAAAGCGATCCAATACGAGCGGATAAACCAGCACAAAACGTCATACATCACCCCAAATTGACAAAAACAAGTTATTACCCAAAACAAAACGAATAAAACGATGGTATCCATAACGGAAGCACTTGAACACCAAAAGTAAAGAAAAACGCCTGAATTCTGATGAAGAAGAAAACGTGACTAGTTCTCGTTTAAAAGCGCTAGAGCCATTCCCACTCGCGGCTCGGCAAGATTGGGAATGAGCTTGAGTTCAGAACAGAAATCATACCACATGCATAGACATCTCTTTAGACCTAATGAGGCATTCGTTGAGTAGTTAACATCCATAAGTAACTCTACCTATGTTTGATACTTACACTCCTGTGAACAAAAACTTCGAATGTGAAACAGTATGTGAACAAAGCAAAATCTGCAAATGATAGATCATAGTTCATCCTTCTCCAAAAGTGTGTATCGATTGTGTGAAGGCTTGAGCTTTTCGAATACTGATGGTGGTGGCTGCGTCTCCACGGGCTGTAAGTATATGATATGCGATGGTAGATCAATCTTATCGGAAACAAAACACCAAAGACCAGAACGATAGACTGGACGATGCAATTCCACAGTGTTAACCCAAGACATCAAGATCCTGGGCTAACATGCAAAACTTCGATGAAGTCAGATCAAAACACTTGTATATCTCAAGGACCAACACTATGAGTTTTTATAAACCTTGGGTTCAAAAAATGTGAAATTACATCGGTTAACAGACAAGACAAAGACAGCCAATCTCCAAGTAGTTAGGCGTTAAAACTCTTAATTACATTAAAGACATTCTTAGTAATGTTAGAGACGCTTGAGTTAAGCATCGTTCTTCATGCAAACCTATCATATAATCATAAAATCAGACATCAAAAATGTAAATGTATAAACAAAATATGCATGATTTTAAGAAAACGGTTCAACATTATAGAACATTTGTAGAGTATGATAGATGCTCTTGCGGTAGGGCACCCAGCAATCTTCAATGTACTAATCGCGATTTTTCAGAAATTTGCGAAGAAAACCAATATACCTTCCTCCTTCCACCGTTATCTAATCTCCTCCTCCCGACATTTGCAGTCAAGATAATCTCAAAAAATACACAAAGTTAAGGAATCCAACATTTGGCACGCCCTTTAAAAAGACTTTTATATTCTAAATGCAGCATGAACACTGGAGCTTGATCAAGAGGCTACTTTACGACGATTTTGAAAATGACATGATAGTGAAGACAATTCAACCCTCTCTCATATCAGTTTCAAACATGCTCTGACTACTAGAAGCAAAAATGTGCCTCATGTTTTCCCAGCAATGACTACTAGCCATAACATGACAGTTCCATTTTTTCAAACTCGACTTCCACGCTTTCCCTTCCCCTGCGCTATCTATCCCTCATCTTTTCCTAATCTCCCGAAAGGAAAAGCCAATGCCCCGATAATTCAGCTCAGCAAAATCACATAGGTATATAACGAACACTTGCTCTTATCTGAGAAGAAAACTCAAAAAAAATTTAAATGCAAACATGCAATTCCCTGAACCTGCAGTACTTAAAACAAAAATTAAGAAAAAGTAAAAGAGATAAAACTACCCTTTGCTTCAACCAGGCGGCTGCTGGAAGGCGGGGCCCCATGACCTAAGAGGCGACTGCTCGCGTCTGCGACGCAGTCTGCGCCTCCCCCGCAAACATGCTTTCTGATCATTTTCTAGCCTTAATTACACGGAGCCTCGCCCTCCAACCGCCGATCTGGTTGAAGCAAAGAGTACAACAAAGAACTAAATGTGTTTGTCTCTGAAATGATGCTCCTGCTTCTCCTCACTATTAAAAAAATGAAAACATATTGCAAGTAATAAACTGATAAGCATGCATGAAAATCGATTCCCGAGCAACTCATAACCGATAAGACGGGGTATCTGACTGTTTTTGTTGTCTGAGTGTCCGTTGCATCAGTGACCTGCTGTACTGGATCTGGGCCATGATGGAATTCGCGATGCAATTTTCCACTGTGTAAATCGAGAACAAACTGACGCAACCTTCCATTAACTCTAAAAAGACAGTAAATAATATATGTCAGTATAAGGAAAGACTATAAGCTCACTTCATGTCTTCGGTGTTTGGGAAAAGGTACATATGTCGGAAGGAGTCTATGGCAATCACAGGCAAATCGCTTTCACGCTTCCCAAGATGGTGCAGTGGATGTGCGAATTTCTTTCCGTCAGCCACAAGGCAGTTGACGGCAGCTGCAAGAAGACGGCAGTCACATTATAATCTATGGAACTGCAAAACCCAATACATTTCTGATCCGGTATTTCTCTGATGACTGCTTCTGTGAAGATCTTCTCACTTTCTTTATCGTCAGGGTGCCGGAACAAAATCAAGAATGGAAGTCCCTCCTATATTGCAAGAAATTGTATTCATCACTATGTATAGAAAACAGACGCACCTCCGTTAATTCTTCCGCATTCTCAAACGTGATTTCTCGTACAAGTGGTATGCATTTATCACTTACCCACTGCCTGAAAGAATGATTTTTTCATGAGAGTAAGATGGGAAAGAAAACAAAAAACGAGCACAACAAGATATTACGTATTACAGATAACCTACTTCAAAAGATTGAAATCTTGCATGGTGCCAACTAACGGAGATTCCTCAGGAACCTGAAGGAGAAAACATCGAGACATAGAACGAAGTGAGTGCAAGTGTTAATTTACATTTGCCTTTCTGAACGAGACAGATGGTCCACTTGCAAGTTTGTCATTGAACTCCGCTCCAGTAGCAACAAAGAACGAGCATTCTTCTCTCAAAATGGATGAAACCTAGATTATAATAGATGCTGTCAAACCCTGATTCAACAAACACAAGTTCAAGTGATTAATCAAGCTTTGAAGACTAGAGCGCTGCATAAACATTATATCTGAAAATGCCAATGAAATGACTACCTTCTTCAAGTTCTCGTATTCAGGTCCAGAGAGCTGGCTGAAGTATGCAATCACATTTCGCTTTTCCGGCTAAAACAAACAAGACTTTCAGAAGTCCAAACTGCAAATAGTAGATGGTTCACTTACATCGAGTTTTTGTTTGAGCTCTTCAGCGTTATGAACTTCCACTATGCTTGAATCTAGCTGTTTCTGGACAAATTCCGAAAGTGCTTCAACAGAACGTTGGCTTCTATAAAAAGTCACATGAGGGTTCCATTTAAGTACTGCACTTTGACATTTGGTATCTTATTTATCAACATACAAGAACATAGGTACAAGATACCAGATTATATATGTGAACACTGGTCAAACCAAAGCATTACATGCTTATAAATAAATCAGTCTCAAGGCACCGTCTAATTAGACTTCCATGTTTTGATCGTTTCGGGGTCTTCTCATGCCCCTGATTTCATAAAGTCGAGCATCCTCAAAACCCCTGGGCATTAACAGAGGGGAGTGCCTACTTGGGGTCCTCATCTTCGCTATTTCGAAGCGATTTTTCTCGCTAGCGAAGCGACTTTGCGCAGCGGCTTGGGAATTGGCTTCATACTAACATGAGATACCAGAGGCTCAAAACCCCTAACTTAGAGTAGACGGTGCCCTCTTGGAAGCGAGAAAATCGTTCCGGTATAAGCAAGAGACATGAGTACCCCTAAGCGGCACCTCCCCTTCCCCTTCTCTTCCCCCCCCCCCCACCCTTTCCCCTCCAGTAATGTTCGCCCACAAAATCACCGCCTGGGGGTTCTCTGGAACGGGGATTGTCGGGGTTTTCGCGGATTCTCGACTTCATATTCGGAATCAGGGACATGAGAAGGCTCCAGAACCACAAGAACATGGAAATCGAAAATCTGGGTGGAGGTGCCTTTGAACGCAATTTGTGCAAAATGTTGAATGAAATATACTTTAGAATCAACAACAACAGATGGAAATGTTGTTTTCGTTTGCTTACTTAGAAAACGCATGAAGGGTCTAAAAAGCTATTAGATAAACAGCTGTGATATGAAAATCAACAGAATGTAGACATCCAATTGTTTTTGGGCATATGCTCAACAGAACAGTTACTTTCGCAGCATGTCTCCAGTTAACCGGCCGAATCAAAATTGAAGAATTAGTAAGTCAAGCTTGCTCATGCGGTTTTTCATGGATCTAACGACATTAAATCTGAGTGATAAAAAATAAGAAAATCATCACCTACCTGTATTCTTTGCGAACAATTTCTCCATTGCGGAAGAGTTTCAATGTTGGATATTTGTTCACTTGAAATCTAGTTGCAAGCGCAGCTGAAAAAGAGGTTATTGACCTTGGGACAAAATCCCAAAAGTTTGGTCGAAATATTGACCGTACTTCTCACCTTGTTGATCAGCATCAACGGCTCCCCATACAACTTTTCCTGGTGGGAGATTCTGAGAACAATAAGTTGATACAAAGGATTTACAGACAACTACTCAATTTACCTGGAATTTCTGACTAGCTTCAAGAAATATAGGCTTTAATATTTGTGAAAATCGACACCACTCAGCATAGAAATTTACGAAAACGACATCATTTGATTCTGGATAAAAACGGATCAGAAGTTTACAAATACTGAGATGAGAACTTACGCATTATGGTGTCGAAATTAGATGAATCAAGCTGAACCACATTTGCAGTGACAAAATGAACGGTCGCTAGCCCAAGCAATGTCCGGATAATCATATCTGGCTATACAAATGTTCTGAAACACGAAATAAGGAATGATAGAGCAGAAAATAAGACGATGAGCGAGAGACACTGTAATTGGCATTTTGAGTAGAGATACACCTCGACAGTTTAGCGAATACATTTCAAAGAATATAACATGGTATGAGCGCATAGATGACGAATTTATGTTACCGCATTGCAAAAAGAACTCTTGTTTCTTTCTGCTACTGTTCAAACATAGTGCACGGTCAAATGAAGGATAGAAAATTTCGGTATGAATAAAGCAACTTCTAACTGCTGCACATAATTTTGTAAACTTGATAAAAAGCAAATTTACACTCTCCAAGCCGTACGATAGACGCATACCTAGTCATGACTAGCTATGAATCAAAAAACATGGTATGATAAATGTGGAGAGACAAACATATATCAGCGTAGCATACTGAAACATGAATTTTTCTGCTGCAGATGGCAAAGCTTTGCATGAAAGAAAAGGCGTTATCTTACTAAGGCAACATCGTGACTTATAATAAGCCGCTTAATCTGAAGCTGTGTGGAGTTTGTCCTTTATGAATTACAGTGAGGAACGATTTACGATACTTTAAGCATGTGATATCTGAAAGCGAGGGTGGTTCATTTTCAAGTACGGGTCACTTGCTTAAGGCAATTTTTGAATGATGTAGAAAAAATTTATCAAAGAGTAAACCCTCGGGCAGAGTTCACGCGTTCCATCGTCTCGCGATTTTCCAAACAAGACAACAGTTACGAGTTCACTGCATGCCGATCATCCTGCGTTTCGGTTGCGATAGTTTTCCGACACGACTAATCCTGACTATCTATCCCAACCGAAATGCAGGATGATCGACATGCAATGGAATCGTAACTGTTTGTTTGGAGAATCGCGAGGCGATGAAATCACGCGAACGCGCGAGGCTTAAATTTACTCTAAAACTTTCCGTAACCTCTGCGAAGTAGAGATAAAGCAACTTTATTTAATTCTCAATACTCATATATAGTCTGCAGTCAAGATAACATCGTCACTGATGACTCTCATGGCCAAAAGTGATACGACTGTTTGGTCAGCAAACATTAGCTAGATGATAAAGAAAGTGCTTAGGCTGCAGCCGCTTATAAAAATAATGTTTTTGAAAACCATTTAATCCAAATAATTCCCAGCTGCAACTTTGCATGGAAACAATATCACATGCTAATCACGGATATTTTTATTGTTAGCTGTTTACCACAATGGTGTAAACACAACCGTAGTTCTACCGTAACCCAACTATGACGTGCTACTGTAAGAAAATTATGAGAAATAGATAGTCTTTTCTAAAGTTCAATTCTGATCCTCTTCCGTACACAATCGTGACTCCACAAAAAAGCCCACTTTGAGATAAGCATACCATTTTCAGATAGACGTGTCAACTTGAGATTTTTCTTTTTGTTTATATTAGTACAGAACTATATGCCTTCCATTTTGTAAAAAAACGACTTTGACAAGCTGACCTGAACTGCACTCATTCTGATAAAGATTTCCGTACGCCCTCTTAATCAACAGAATTTAAAAGATAGAAGAAAAGAGCACCGAGCTCTTTAATTCAATGTATGAACATAAAACTATGCTCATAGTTCTTCCTAAATACATGGACAAGAACCTTATAACACTGTTCTGAGGTTCTGGGGAATTTGACTCAAGCAAACATTGAATAGAGTAGCGTTTCTGTAATTAAGGATGCAAGTACCACGTCATGAGATCTAAGTCCAAGAAATCCAAGCAAATCAGTACAATTCTGAGCCAAGATTTCGATAGGAAACCACGAAGCGGAACGCAAAGAGATATATTGAAAGAATGTGAGAGGATCTGATTAAGACCACAGGATACCATGAAATTTTTTCACTATTATGAGCAAGTATCTGCTCCAGAATGCAATATTTTATCAATGACTGCGAGAGAAAGAATAAAGATAAACAACGAGTTAGTCAAAGATCAGCAATGATCCGAGTTTCTTTAGATCAAGTAGAAACCCAGGTAAACAGCTCGCTCGCAGCTCGAATAGAAACTACAATCACCGTCTTTTCATATTTGCATTCTTCAATGCTTGTAAAGCCATGAAAGAAGATAAAGTGTAGAAGTTAGAACAGACGAATGTCAATTCATTCATAGAAAAGTACAGCAATCGCAGCGAAACAGATTTTCATCAATGAACATGGCCGAGAGCTCAGCAGGTGTGAAAATAGAGAGGGAAGCACTGCCCGATTCGTACATTCTGCGTACGGAAAGTGATCAATAATAGTTTCAGATACACTCTGTACTTGTAAATGAAATGTGAATATCATGTAGAACAAGAGGAAAACGTCAAGCAAATCAAACACAAACCTAGTTCTTCTTACAAGACAAACATAGAAAGCACATCAATAAATGATCTATCAGACAAGCTAATAAGGCTAAAAATTCAGGACGAGGCAATAAATAATACGGAAACAGTATAAAACGTAGAATAGTCACCATGGTAGCCAGTGGCTCTAGCGGAAAACGGAGCAACGGGTTCGACTTCATAAAACGCCCGTAATGTGCATTACGTCCATTGCGCAGGCTTTTCATAAAAATTCCAGAGTTCGTGGATTTGGAGGAATAAGCGATGGAAAATAGGATTTCTAAGCAGATTATCTCTTTATTTATAGACATACATCTACTTTCACCATAGGAAAATAGTTGACAGTTTTTAAAGAAAGGGAAAGTTGTTGAGTAATACGCTAGGATACGTAGGATACGTCAGCATAGCGGCCCCTCACGTACATCGAATATTACGGCACTGTCATTCATGACTAAAAGTAATTCTAGATTAAAGTTATTGATCGCTGTGGGGAAGTTCCAGTCTCCGTTTTAGCTTCAGTAATAAAGCAGCTTATGTTTTGTCATGAGAGTCTTCCATTCTTAACCAAGAAAGTCATGAAGTGCTTGGAATTCTCTTGCTTGCTAACTTTTTTTACTTTTCTTGCACTCTTCCACATTTTCTTATCCTTTCATCAAACTGACGTTTAGCTAGGGCTGTTAGCTTCTGTTAGAAATCGATACTTGGAACCTTACAATTACATTGTTGAGTAAAATGTGCCCTCAGGCTGCAAGAACATTTCATATTTCCTCCTAATGATTTATTATCGATTCCACTACTTATAGCCTACCATTTCCCAACTGTAACTCCAAAGTAATCGATTACTTGTTCATCGTCATAGCGAAGCATTGCGTTGGGTGACCTCATCATAAAGATAATGACAGAATTCGTCTAATCTCGGCCATAAACACTCCTTTCCTATTGATTATGCAAAAAGTTTTGCTGTCACTCTCCCACGTATCATCCTTTCTGCACCCGCAGCTGGTTTTTTTGCCAAATTCCTCTCCATCAATACTTGAGATGAATCATCACATCTGGTTGTTGCTTTCTTCGATGAGGACTACATTCTTCCTTAGCTTGCATAGACATGAGTAATCACGAAAGTTCTACACAGTTCTTCCATCTGTGTTAACCGTAATTATCTAGTGCTTTCAGGTTTCATTCTTATTTTATTGATCTCCCTCGCAGTTTCGGACTAGTTTTGATTATGAAAGGTGAGTTTTCATACAAATCACAATGCCAAATTTATCCGTAATGCAGCATATGCGAGTTAACTCAATATGTGAGCTGCACACTACGCGCGGCAACTGACGCACCTCATTAGTATAGTCGCTTCAAGCAATATGTTGGACGGAGCATCGCAGACTTTTGAAGACGTTGGTAAACTTGCCAGACCTCTGTTGACAACTATACACATGAGCAATGCCTTGGAGAAGAGGTTGTTTAACAAGCTTATTCATATGTTCAAATGCCTGCAATGCTCCGCCCAACGCTCAGGATTTTTTAAAATAACAAACTTAGAAAGTACTAATGACCAATCCATACTCAAACAAACCAAGGACAAGAAAACAAGAAGAATCACTGGAAACGAACAGATTTTGATCTTACAAGTCGTCAAGTAGCGCGCATAGTGTGCAATGCGCATATTGAGTTCCAATTGACCCGAGAAAATGAAATCTACTTGTTATTTCGCCTCACTTTTGATGGACAGACGCTACTTTCTCTACTCATCATAAGTCTCCGACAAACATTGGACTGGACGTCATTGCGGACGTGTGCCCCTTTTTTGATTGCTAAGGTGATCCAGTAATCTAAAGGTGCTATGTGGGAGAGCGTTCGCTTCGGGACCGCCGCGCGGTTTCCCGCTATTTGCAGATTTTCGAATTGCGCTAACGATTCTTTAAATACTAGAGATAGAGATCTTTCGAGCCCTAGAGTTATTTGACTGTTTATTTGGAGACGAGCATATAAGCTCCAGCGATATCCTTTTAAGAAGAATCTGAGGTTAAAATCATACAACCTTTGAGATTTAAATTGACATGTGCTTTTAGAGAGTATGATATATAAATAGGAATCATGCAAACTCTCCATATGTGCAACCAAAGCTAAACTCTTATTTCAAATTATCTTATTTAGATGTTCTAACACGACTTCAACGACTAGATGAATCGCTAAGCCGAGCACTCGTTGCTCCACCATCGATGCGAAATGTGTTGATGTGGATCGAGTTCACAGTTAGTTGATTTGCAAACTTATCAGGGCCATATGCACAAGCTCTCTGCAATGGGGTGAGAGGAATGGGGGGGGGGGGGGAGCTAGAGTAGCTTTATTCCAAAGCACTTGAAATCTAGGCGTCCAAGGCCAAAGCTGTTCCACCTGTGCTAGCGCCGTGCCGGTACGCTGACCGATGAATTCGCCGGGTCCACCGGCACGGTGCTGGAACGTAGCTGGCACAGTGTCGGCACAATGGCAACTCTGGACAGTACCTCTCTATTTGGTGATCCTACTCCTCGCTTTCCTTTGCATTATTTATCTTTCTTTGAGGTTAATAACGTTGCATAGTGTGCAAAGCTATAGCTTCTAATTATAATCAGAATCTTAATATTCAATGCAATATTATAATTCCAATTCTAATCAGTGATTCTATAACCAGACATGTCAAATCTCTAGAATACGATACAAAAGCATTCTCAAAACCAGATAAATTTCCAGCATTTCCCTGTTCATTTGTGGGTGCTTGTCATTATTTTCAAACCTAATGTTTAGCGCGTACGTCATAAAAATTTTTTCTTTATTGTAGGCCTAGGTCATTTGTTTGCGACGTCTTGTTCAGTGATAGAATAATAAATGCATCTATAGGATGCGCTGATCCCCAGGGGAATTCTGTGATTTGCCAAATTAGCAAGCGGAATTCATTTAGCGTTTCTTGCTCACTCAATATATTCGAATTGCAAGGTAATACACTTGGAGATGAGTACGCACAAAATTCTGCGTAGCCAAATCATTACCTTTTAACTTTTATCCATAAGTTCCTCTCCCCCCCCCCCCTCCTTCTCCTTCCTTCCTTCCCAGGTTCCTTCCCATACAGGCTTTAGAATAAAAGACTTTTGCTGGTTGACTGCGGAAAAATTTGTCACAAGTGTAGGATTCGGAATTTATTTGGTACTGAATGATCGAATTCTTCTTATCGTTAGTTTCATCTTTTTTGGTGACATAAGATGATTAGAAAAAAGCAAAATAAAATGGAAAAAAAGCGCAATAGCATTTTTTTTACTGGAAGCTGTCTTCGATCGACTCATAGTTGCAGGTGAATGGAGTCCCTTGGCTTGTTGGCAGCTCGCTATCTCTAGTTTTTGGAGCTAGTTCTAAATGGAATCTCAATACTCAACATCAACTTACAGTACTGTTTTTCGGTAAAGTTTTTAGTTAATAACAGGTCATCTTTGAGCAGATAGAAAATTTTCGTTGTTCCCATCGAAATTTGCCACATTTAGGACTTTTACTAGACTTGCTTCTCAGTGGAGCTATAAAACTGAGCATACAACGACCGAGACCTAAGTACAATATTAACGATCAGGTGAGGATTCGAAAAAAGGTTGGGGATGAAAGTCTGACGAGAAGATTTTTTTCAGCGTTTTGAAGCACCTGTATTTGACCGGTTTTCCTTTCCTTCCGGGCACTCTTCAAGAGCGGCCATGTTAGCAACTTTGTGGTGAGTTATGTGGTTTTCAATACATAGAAAAATTTACTCGTAATTAATAACTGCAAAGGCTCTCCACAATCTTCAGTCACAAGTAGTGACAGTTTTGCAGCTCAAGTAGCCATCTTAATTTTTTCTTTTGAGAAAAAGGTGGGCAAACGCTACTAAATCGGATCATGGCACATTATTGTAATCAAAAAACCTTCATCTTAAAAAAAGCGCTGTTACTTTCCACTTAATTGACAATTTTTTTAGCGTCGCATTTTATCCCCAGTACCGGTTTGCAGCTGTTGGATTATCAATGCTGGTTGCGTTCAGCAGAGTAGCTATGGGACGACATTATGTCAGCGATGCATTATCTGGTAAGTCCAATTCCAGCATGAGGGCAGCTGCCAGGCAAATTTTGGGTACCTGGTGTGGAACCTGGTTGGAATATCTTGGCTAAGCCGATATTCAAGCAGTAGCTCATGTGGTTCATTAGCGGCCGAGAAATTCGAGTCTAAACTCCAGCCCAGATCGTACTCGAGGAGCTGTTGGTAGATACAAGTACGGTACTGGGCGAGAGTGTAGAGACGAATTTCTCGGCCACGAATGATTCATATGTAGTGCCGCTTTGGCAGTGGCTTAGCAAAGCCTCCTTAATCAGTATTTACACAAGAAATCCAGTACTCAGATTTGCATGGATGCCACCTTCAGTTCATAAATTCTGCCTTTTTCCTATTTATCTGGATCAATTCTTTTCTAGGTCTCGCACTAGGCTATATAGAGGGCCTGATTGCTCTTGCATTGCCTCTGTCATTCAGCAAATGGCTGAGCAGAGTGTTACGATGATTGTATGTACAGCTGATGGCTATGACAAATATGTCGAACAATGCTCCAATGTGCTAACGATGCTATTGTATAATATGTGATACCTCTGCATTCTATTGATGAAGTCTTGAATATACAGCTACTTGTAACTTTGTTACAGTGATAGAAATGAAAGTTGGGAAAAAATCGAGAAAAAACTATATGTGATACCTCAGAAGTTGGGAGTTTTCTCAAAAATTCTAATAATCCATTTTTTCGGAAATCCTAATCAAGATACATCCTCACTTTATCTACTTATTATATACCAGTGCGTCACCTCTGCTTCGCAGAGGCTCGCACTGGTTCTACTATCTAGGCCCTACTCATTCTCGCATAATGATGGCATTGAAACTCACCGAGCAATGCCTATTATCATGAACAAAATGTAAACAACAACTCATTCCGAAAACTTTTTCATGTGAAATCGGTGATTTCGCGTGGATGAATTTTTTTGCAGGAGAACAAAGCAAAATTTTGTACGTTTTTGATTTTCCCACAGTCTTGACAGTCGCCAAAGAACAGTAGTCACCATAAGCTACATTTAGGTGCAAAAATCTCATCAAATGCTCTGGTAAAAGCTTGGCAAAATGACCATTTACGCAACCAATACTTTTTGGCGCCGTTTTCGTAAAGTAGTGGACTTTTGATCACTTTTTTGGGCCTAAGTTCATGGTTTGCACATTTACTTGCCATAAACATCCACGAGCGCAAAAAGTGGAATTACGGACCCAATTTTGGGGACGAAAAGCCAGGTGGGTCCGATTGACGCGCATTTTTTGAAGGATCCGCTAAACGGATCCGCTCAAGCTTTGATATAGTGGACTCTCATGTTGGTAGCATGCGCTGTGCAAAATTTGGGCTTAAGATGTTGGCTGGCAACCGTTCCACGAATTTCGTGACAGACAGACAGACACACACACACACACAAAAACACGTAAACATCCTTAGCCCGTTATTATAAGTTACTAGCTGGCTTACCCGGCTCCGCCGTATCCGGACCAAACTTGGCACACATACACTTCGGGCCCCGGCGGGTGTCACAGTCCACTTTTCGTTATCGATCGATGTCGATTTTACCGATTTTTATCGATTTTTTTGCAGAGTTCACCTACAGGGCTAGGAGTTGGCACAGGGGGGGGGGGGAGTGAGCATGGGAATTCCGAATACAATGTTAGTTTTCAGAATTATCGATTACTTTTATTGATTTTATCGATTTTTTGTAAATTTTGACATGCGAGGCTGGGATTTTGCACAGGGGGGTAATCGAGCATGCTGATTACGAACACAATATTAGTTTTCAGGATCGTCCAATACTTTTATCGATTTTATCGATTTTTTTTGTAAAGAGTTTGACCTGCGGGGCTGGGAGTTTGCACAGGGGTAATCGAGCATGCAGATTGCGAATACAATATTAGTTTTCAAGATCGTCCATTACTTTTATCGATTCTATCGATTTTTTGAAAATTTGAGCTAGGGGGCTGGAATTTGGCACAGGGGTGTAATCGAGCATGCTGATCACTTTGCAAAAAAATCGATAAAATCGATAAAAGTAATCGATAATCCCGAAAACCAATATTGTATTCGGAATCCCCATGCTCGATTACCCCCCTGTGCGATCTCCCAGCCCCGTAGCTCAAACTTTGCAAAAAATCGATAAAATCGATAAAAGTAATGGACGATCTTGAAAACTAATATTGTATTCGGAATCCCCATGCTCGATTATCCCCCTGTGCCAACTCCCAGCCCCGTAGCTCAAACTTTGCAAAAAAATCGATAAAATCGATAAAAGTAATCGATAATCCTGAAAACCAATATTGTATTCGGAATCCCCATGCTCGATTACCCCCCTGTGCCAACTCCCAGCCCCGTAGGTGAACTCAGTAAAAAAATCGATAAAAATCGATAAAATCGATATCGATCGATGACGAAAAGTAACCTATGACACCCGCCGGGGCCCGAAGTGTATGTGTGCCAAGTTTGGTCCCGATCGGTTCAGAAATGGAATTTTCTATTCGGAACATACGTACATACAGACAGACAGACAGACAGACAGACATACAGACAAACAGACATTCAGCTTTATATATAAGATGATAGACTGAAATAATGGATTGTTGCAGAATTCTTTTGATAAGTTGTCTTCTCAATACTGCAACATGTACTTATGCAGATTTTTTTTTCTCTCAAAAGTTATGAATCTCATTTGCAGCCTCAACATTGCAAGTTATATTTATAACAAAAATTCCAATTACGTATACGGCTGTAATCTTTTTTAACAATAAGCTCTGTCTACAAAACTGGAATCGCAATAATACGTTACATGCCGTTTTTTGTTAAACTGCTCGTATTTCAGCTAATGGAACTCCTAGAAGGCAAAATTAGCTCATTTCCCTCAATCTGCGGAAACCAAACCGAAAATCGAAAACCAAATGACATGACATTTATTGTGCATTGAAATGAAGCTGCTCAGTCTCCATTCTGCGAAATAAATCTCTTTTTTTCTGGCTAGACAATGACGCCATGCTGCATGGGCAATCAAAACAAAAAAATGATGCAATGTTTATTGTTGCTTTTGCACATCAATTCATCTAAATATGGAAGCTCTTCATCATATTCCATGACGTGACGTGATACGTATTTAGATGAGATCATTACTTTGTTGTATATCACATTGCGACAGTAAGAGATCCCATTCCTGAAAAAATTCATAATCACAAAGAATTTGATTCGATGTGTAATCGTCTACACTTTTGCAACCGTCTACAACGTAGCCTTAGGGGATATAAGGCTATTTTCTAGGTTATTTTTATGGATATCAACAAGGTTAGCGAATACAGAGGAAGACACGAAAGAAGCTCCTCAAAAAACGATGTCGAAAATCTGACAAAAACAATCCAGAAAAATTCCACAAATTCAAAAATTGAAGTTTCGTGTGCAAATGTCTATAACGAAAAGCTAAAATTCTCCACAAAATTGTGATTTTTTGTCAAGTATAGGGGAATCTATGTTACAGTTACAAAGGAAGCATACAGACTATTGGAAAGGAATCTTCCAAAATGCTTTGAAAAATCATAACAACTGAAATTATGGGTTTTCATCACAATACGTAGTAGTTTTCCGAAGTCCAAAAAAAAATCCCTTGTAAAATATTGTGTCTATATGTTAATTTCATCATTATCCTGATCAAAAATGCCTAATCGTGATGACGTATATAAAAGTAATCTTTTTCGAAATTTTTGTATGAAGCTAAATTTTGGATTGATTGAATCTGAATTTCACTACACCTGGATTTTTGGTGATAATAAGACTCAAAATTTTCATTTCTAATAATTTTCTCAAGAAAAGGTTTTGCTGTACTTACCGACGTTTTATTCGACTCGAATGGATTCGGAAATTGTGATGGAGCACCAAGCAAATCTACGATGCTTCCTAGAAAACATCCAGTACATTCAAGGGCGCAAAAGATGAAAAACTCCATACCTTGCGTATTCTCTTGCTTCTTGTTTTCTACTATCGGGAAAAGATCCTGAACCGAATATCCGGATGTGTCCGCCAATAAGGAGAACGGTTTATTCGCTGAAGTTGGGCAATAACAAAATAAGCCCTTCAAAATGTTAGGTTCTTACCACTAGTGGAAGGCTGTGCCTGGAAAGGTGCTGCCCGTGGAGGAGGTGGCAGAAGTGGTACTTCAGCATCTGTGTCTATTAAGGTTGGCGGTAATGGACCAATGGAAATCTGAAAAGGTGCAAGTAAGAAAGCAGCAAATCCGTTAGTGGGGTTCGAAAAAACGCTGAATATGAATGCGGGATATGTTGTAAAAATTATTTCATAAACCCAGTCGAGCATCTATATTTTTTAACAAGCCCACTGCTCGCTCAAGCCAGTTATTCCCGTGTTTTTTCAAAAAGTCTTTCACATGCTAGGCAGTAGGAAAATCCCCTCATTATCAAATCATAAAATGTGACGAAGAAAAATAACGATATAACGTAAAACTTGAAGCAAAGCATTCAAGTCAGTTTTTTCAATGCACTAGATGAAGAAGTTCAGTCCGGTTTGCAATATTTTTTGTAATTTTTTTTCTAAGTACACTTATAATCATAATTTTAGCCCGACATTTCTATAACATTTTTAGCGAACTACTTTGTTGATGAAAAGGTTAACCCATAAAACGAGGGAGAGAATGGTAATAAAATGAATTACAATGGTATGCAAACCAAAAAGCCAAATCTTCTGAAAAAAAATCACGTCAAAAATCACAATTATGTTTTTGCTTCTTTTTTTTATCCAAAGCAACAAAAACCTTTCACCTTGTTGAACTGCTCCGACAAAGGTTTCTCTCCCTCTAATTCGTTTTCGAATACTCCTAGTGGACTTTCAGGTCTCTCCTCTGCGGGCTCTTGATTGTTGTCGTCGATGGGGCTCTCTCGGCCGAATAAGTACTTTTTCAGCGAACCTTCTGGTTCATCATCCAAATTAAGGAGACTAAAATTGGATTGGAATTATCGCAAAAACTTTTCTCAAACAATTGAAATGCTTACTTTCCTACAGACTCCTCTTCCTGTTCATCAGCTTCGGCGGGAAGTTGAGAATACTCCGCAGTTTTTTCTTTGTCGACACTTTCTTGGCGAACTTTCTTTGCCACCTTCTTGGAAGGTTCGATAAGATCCTGAGAGTGAAACATTAGCAAAAATATCACAAAAAAGCTGATAGAACTTACCGTAAGAATTTCAAATTCATAATGTTGGAATGTGGAAAGATTACTGGAGAGTGCAGTATAGGCACGACATGTTTTATCGTAATAGGCACAAAGCATTTCTAGATATTTCCCGAGAAGATGAGACAGTAGATTCGAGCGTGACGCGGATAGGAGATCAACCTAGAAAAATGTAGAAGCTCTTTATCTCGGCAGAGATGACATTTTCGAGAAGTTCTCAGACTTTTACCTTTTGAAGCGTATCCACTTTGAGCTTGTCAAGACGCTCCTTATTCGTTCGTACAGCTGATTGAGCTTCTCGAAATTTTTCTAGCTGCCGATCGGTATCAGGATCTAACTGTAAATGAACTTATCTTCACATCTACCCATTCTTTTTGACTTGCAAAGTGGTGAAATTCTTGTAAAAAGTGAAAATAAAGGGTTAGAAACAAGAAATCGGGAAAATTTGCGATATCTTAGCAGTTCTTGGCAACAACGAAGAGAGAATAGTCTGCCGAAACAATTCCTAACTGGTTTTCCCTTCACAAAACCAATTCGCAAGATTATTAACGTAAGAAATCACAAACAATGAAAATTTTCTGGACGAGTTTCCTTGACTACTTCGTAAAACCCTTTTTATGATTGGGAGACTCCGGAATCTCGGATAATTAGCTCTCAACAAAAGGATCCCGCTCACAATCTTGAAAACAAATTGAGAAAAATGGAAAGAGCCAAATGCACGTAGGGTATCATATTTTTCCCTGAAGATTCTATTTTTATTCAACATGCGCCGTCATGCGTGTAAATATATCATGTTTACTTAATTTCCGTCGTAGATATATTTTGTAAATGAGGGTAGCAGTATTAAATAGCACTCCGAGAAGAAAGCAAATATATGGATGAAAATGACTATGAATCGGGCATATGGGATACGGTATTTGTTAGAAGGACTACTTTTACGATGTTGTTGCTGTCAAAAAAAATAATTGCTATTTTACTGTCAAAAATCTCCAACAATAGCTTTGAACTAATAATATTTGCTATATTGATGTTTTAGATATTTTGCCACAAAGCACAAAGAAGAATCAAATTTTTCTAAGGCATAAGAAGGAATAGCAATGCTAAGACTGTAAACGTCAAAGATTTTTTGTAGGCAATTCTCAATAAATTGTTAAGTTTATTACCTCTTCACTGGTCTTTTTCATCCATAGCAGACTTCCACGATATTCAAGACGAGCTCGTTCGACAGCATCAACCGTTTGTGAACAGTCGAAAATTGCACGTTCGGCGAATACATGCAACTCTTGGTAAAACCTATAATGAGAGGTTTAGGGGTAATTCTTATTTTTTGTTAAATGATCACAAATCTAAATGAACATGTATCGATTAACTGGTACGTGAACAATCGAAAATTGCACGTTCGGCGAATACATGCAACTCTTGGTAAAACTTATAATGAGAGGTTTAGGGGTAATTCTTATTTTTTGTTAAATGATCACAAATCTAAATGAACATGTATCGATTAACTGGTACGTTCTTAAACGGTAATATATCAGACATGCTCAGATGGGGGTTTGCAAAAGAAATCGAACTGATTTTTGAGGTTGCACAATCTTAGTCTAAGAGTTCAAAGAAAGTCTAAACTATACAGTAATTAACTCTCCCCTTCAACTGCTAAATTTAACAATTCATTCAAAAAAACAGTAAAGTCCACTAGTCAATTTCAGTATAAAATCGTTGATTAAAGGTCCCCCATTGCCAAAAACAGTTGAGGAAGTAGAAACGCACTTATCTAGTTTCCAGAAATTCAAAGTGTAGTTTCTGTGGAATAGAATGCGTAAAAGAGCATGGCCCTTTTGCACCATTACAGTAATTTACTGTGACTGAACATGCGTGCTTGTATACAATATCAGGGCTTGGCAAGAGGTGGCTAGCTGAAAATGCAAAAATCGAAGCCCCCCATGATTTTTGCAAATTTTTGCGAAGTCTGCTTTGATCTTAGACCATAATCCCTAAAAATCTCCAAAAAGCGAAACGTCGACTAAAACGTTGTATCTGTGTCTATTCGGTCTCAAAAACGAAACCCCCCTTGCTTTTTATCCCAAGAACGATATCCAGCTTGCTTACAAGCCACCTGCGCCGAGCCTTGTACAATATTGGGTTTTCCATTGTAAAATGAAACCGACAAAGCTCCTTCTATGCTGGATTTTACAAAAGAAAATTGGCTCAAATAGCAATATGCAAAAATTTGTGTAGGTCACGGTAGAATACCGTACATGGAAAATGAGTCCGTATTCTGTGAAGCAGTAGAACAGTACAAATTACTACTTTCCTTCTTCTAAGAGTCCCGCTCTTTTTAAAAGTCAGAATATAGAAACATGTAAATTTCTCACCAATATTCTAAACTTTTCCAATATTTCGACTAACCCACCTGAGTAAGGGAACTCGTACAGCGGCTAATTGATGGCTACTAAAAAGTAGAGCTCTTCCGACTGCTATCATTCCTCGTCCAGTTTCTTTCCTTTTGTCCTGCTTTCCTTGCTCTTTGAGATATTTTCCGAGTTCATTTTCGCAGAGTATCGCATCTGTAAATGGAAAAAACATAAGGAAAAAACTTCTACAATGCCATTAGAGTTCTGTGCCTATTGTTTTTCAAAAAGGATTTCATATGAGGGTAATTATGAGAGGGGATGGTTATTACATGGTTACGTTATAATAAAAAAACATTCTTAAATATGAATATTTGTGTGATTTTTACAATCGTGGCTCATATCAACGCCAGCATTGCAGCTGTTTTTTTCTTCTCACAAAAAAATCACTTCAAATTACAAATTAGCTATTCACTAGTAGTGAACCTAATGAAATGGGATAAAATTTGACAAGTCAACCTTGTTTTTTTATTTGATGAATGCCCCTCTCTGACAGGATGTAATACTGAGCCTCATTTCTATACGCCAACATTGATGCAGGTTTTTTGCCCATTTTTCTGTTCCTCCGTAGCCCATTAATTTTTGCAATGCAATGCATTTCTTCAATACCACGCTGACGGCTCTAGTCAACAAAAGAAAGAAGAGCTGCTGCAATATGCTTTCAAGAATTCAAAGCTCACTCAGAGCAAAATGCAAGCAACGATAATGGAATGTGGATTTTAATTTACTTTGCTTGCCATTGACGTCATTGCCTAAGATAGGCACTTTCGTCATTTTGCAGTCTGAAAATAGCCCAGACGTCATTTCCGCGAGAAAACGCAGAAAAATTCTTACGCAAATAGAATGGTGCTCAGCCATAATGCTTTTAGATGGAAATAGCAAAGCCAAAAGCATGTTTCACAAAAAAGACATGTTCTGGAAGTTGATTATATGGATATTTTCCTAGACCTGTGTAATTGGAGCCTATTAAAGACCAGACTCAAATTATGGAGGAAAGCTTGAATAGCCTGCTGCTCCAGGAAACTTGGAATAGTTCTTCTGCAAAAGATAGAAACGGGTAATTGTAGATGTTGCCGAGATATGGGGATAACCGCAGTTTTTGATGCTAACCAGTTAGTATTTAAGAGCCTTTAAAACAAGATTTTTAGAATATCTCAAGATTTTTCCGATTCTTGGCAAGTACAGGTGACATAAACACTGATTTTGGAAAAGTACATAACAAGTTTGGAAGATAAAGTTGGCAGGTTGAAGAACTGAAAAAATGCTCTGCTGTGATTCATTTTGTGATAGAAACTCGAAACTGCTCCGCACACATGGTTAAAACAAGTTTGATAGTGTAGCTAACGTGTTTATACTTGTGCTTATCTGTCTAATATTATTTGCCACTTGCAGAACAGGAAAGAACAAGTTCAAATTTGTTTAGACAACGTGTGCAGAGCGGTCACGATTCCTTCAAAGACAGTGTCTTGGCAGGAATTCGTTTTCCGGTTTTTCATCTTTTCGGAACCTCCTCGCCATGAGGAATCCATACCTGGGCTTTTTAGCGCTTAAAAGTGGCAAAAATGAGCTTTTTTCGCAGCCTTCTAGGTCCGCATCAGTGAATGAGGGTACGCCGGAAGTCTTTCGCGCCCCGCCTTCCTCGTTCCGGGTTCCGCCCACTTCAGACCTGGATTGCTTCGAAAAAAGCTCATTTTCGCCATTTTTATGCGCTGCTTCAATCACAGGGTGAACGACATCTTTAATAACTTCCTCAGCTGCCCAAGAAAAAGTTTTCAACAATAATATTTTCGCAAGCAACTTGGCTAAAACAATTGACTTGGCATTTTCAGAAAATATTCGTGGCAAATTGGAGTTTTTCTTTGTTTCACACAGAGACTGAAAATCCTTACTGCCGTCTCCAGATAATTGTGATTGGCTTTTTTGTGTTCCATGGCCGTGTTCCTCTCTTTACTGCAAACTTCCTTGACCACTTAAGGATATCGATTTTTATAGCTATAATTTTTACCAAGGCTAGCAGTGCCGTGTATGCAAGTTGCGAAAGGTTTCTGTGTTCTATCTGTGCTTTTAAAGGGAGTGATTTGTAGTTTTTTTTTTTCAAACAAAAGAATGACGACTGCTCAAAATTGAATGCTCGAACGAGTCGCAGCCACAGCACAAAGTCTAACTACCGACGGCAAATTGGTGCTGATGTTATTTTCCGGACCTCCGCACAACTTCACAAACAATGCAATGGTTACTAAATGTGGAAAATTGAATGTGATGTGACGGTCACAATCAGAGCAGACGTATTCGGAGCATTCAAAGTTTTGCTTAATTTTCTGATCTCTAAAGTATCAAAATAACAATCTCAAAGTATTACGAATCAATTGCAAGATGAAAATAGTATATGCAGTCAAAGTTTTCTCCTATCTAGCAGCCAGAGCCTCCATTAGCTGTTCTCTTATATTCGTTAGATGAATAATCGAATTTGGACTTTTCAGTAAAGAGAAAGAAGTGAATATTAGACGTAATCTTTTTTTTTTGATACGCACTCTGCAAGATTAATGTGCTTCAGCGGTTGCAATGATTTTTTTCTAAAATTATTACTTGATTTTGGCCGCAACAAACGACATTTTTTTGTGACAATAAAACCGTCAATAGATGCGCCAGAGCCTCTCTGCATTTCAGCAAATGGCAGAGTGAAGAATCTAATAACAAAAACTAGGAAATGGAAGTATATACATAGCTGCCCGAGTTTCGAACTATAACGAGCTATTATAGCCACTGTTCCTAAGCCTAAGCCTATTCTATATTTACCCTCAAAATTTATTTAAGCAGGCGTAAATCTGTAAAAACTAAAAAAACAAAAGCTGAGTAAAGGCAGCCTCCAGGCAAATCTGGGCCTATGGGGATCTCACTTGGAGGGTAATCTTGGAGCCCTAGCTCTACTGCCCAAGCGGCAGCTCAAATGGTGAGCTCACAGCTGAGGTATTCGCCTCCAAACTGGACCTCGGGATCGTATTTGCATGGATTGCGCGACACATCAATCTCGCGCGAGGACCACGCGTGTCGCGCCATGAATCCATGCGACGATCCCGGGGTCTAGTTTGGAGGTGAATACCTCAACTGTGAGTTTACGGTTGGGCAGTGTCTTAGTTAGGGCCCCAAAATTACTTTCCATATCAGTACCCCGTATGTCCAGATTTGCCTGGACGCTGCCTTCAAAACGCTGTAAAACTAATACATTTTGTAAATAGTGATAAAATGGAAAAGACAATAAATTTTTGAACGCGTTGCGCTGCATTTACGGCTTCGTCCTGAATGGCTGTAATGTACTGAGATTTATGGCTCTCCGACAGTAGTTAATTGAGCAGGGAATTGTGGAATTGATAGTAAATGGCAATCATGATCAATGGGTGGAATCAAAAAAGCTTTTATATGAATCTAAGCTAGGCATTGATACTGCAAATCAACTTACCTAATAGAAAGGCTTGATAGTTTTCCACACATGCCAGGAGATTTTCCGACGTGTCCCTCACTGATCGAAATAAAGTTAGTTTCGAATCAAGAGAAGCATCGGACGCAAGCAAGTGCTCATCTTCCTAAATAGATCGACGATGAACAAAAGTCTAATTGATCTACAAAAGATAACCTTCTTGCCAAGTTTGGTCCTTAGCAGTTGTTTTGCAGTGTAGTAATGTCGTTTCATAGTCACTAGCGTGGATTCATCAAACTTGTCGAGAAAACGATCGAAGTTCATCCCGCTTGAAAAGAAAAGCAAATCAGTATCCAAATTTGGAATTACTACGCCTTCCAGTGTTTTATTTTTTATACCAAAATTACGAAAACATTTGGCCTTGATTATCGCAATTTCAATGTTCATTTTCGATATATAAGTGAACCCAGTATATATTTTCAATGCTGTAACAAATTTGAAAAGTTCGGCAAATTTCTATCCATTCTCAGGCGGGAAATGATGATAGTATGCAAGTAATTAGATTTATTTGTTGGGACAACTTCACAAACTCTGAGGAATCAATACTTTCAAAAAAATCCTCATCAAAAATTCTGAGGCGCTCTTTCCAAAAAAATGATTCGAGACCCCACTCATGAAAGCGCATGCGTTGCATGTCATTCCAGACAACTGATCGGCGGAACTTTCGCAGCTGGGAAAGTTCCGCCGATTACCTGGGGAAATTCCGTAAATCATGACGGCAAAAGAGCTCAAGCGGGATTTGAAGCTTACTGAATTGACTGCGTGACTCACTCACTATCTCACTGCACAAGGGTGCATTTAAAGCCCTGCGGAAGTGCTGGCAGGCCAAAGTGCTGCGGAACCGCTGCCATTTTCGGAATTTCCGCAGCGCTATATAAAAAGTCCTGCGGAAGTTCCCATCCTCAAGGTTTCCATTTTCATAATAGTAAACAAAGTCCTGCGGAACCGTCTCAAATTTGGCTTGTCTTCCAGAAGTTCCGGTGAATTATCTGAGATATGAAACAAAAAATCACGTTTACTTAACTTACAATCATTCGCAGTTTTCACACCTACTTACGGAGCAAACGGTGAAAAAAATAAAAATGACGTGAATGTCTTCACACCATGGTGTAATGGAAGAGCGTGGGATATAATCACACACGAAAAGCCGTTAGTTCCGTGGCAACGAACAGATATAAGAACTCTCTCTCTCTCTCTCATTAATTTGCGAACGTAAAGAATTTGTCACTCAAATCATTGAAGTTCTATTAAGTCAAATGAACTAAGTTAGCTTTTTATGGAAGCGCTTACACTATCACGCTCGCAGCTTGGAAACTTGAGCTGCATAACAAATTACTCCGATAGTTTCATTTTTTGAATGAATTTCAGTTTTGAGGATTAAAGTTGGTTAAAAAGTAAACTAGCACGGAGTTTCTCTATCCACAGGCATTTTTTCTACAAACTTTTACTCGGAAACAACTCTGAAGAACTTGGAAGTTTGAACTAACAACAAAAAAATGCAAGTCCCATTCAAGCAGTGCTAATTTCTTTAATATAGAAAATAATTAATAATAATATATCAAATAATAGTAATAATATATCAAAATATAGTTTCTTGCTCTCACTGATCCCAGCTGGTTGAAGCCCGACAATGGGAGTTAACAGATTGGGAACTATACAATTTTTGATCCAATTCAAAACCTTTTCTAAAAACAATGAAAATTATAAGCTGTATGTACATCCATGAATTTATATGAAAGCTTTTTTAAGGAAGGAATACCTCACAGGTTTTGATTTTCGCAAATGACTGTAGTGTTTCTCATCTAGACACACGAACAATCACGAAAAATTATTTTTTGAAGAAAGGGTTCTTCCTCCTTGTTTGCTGCCCAAATTGCTTCTACATACAGACTTTAAGAGAATCAAAATCCAAAACAACTGACGGAGTAATTTGCCTAACCATTGATTTAACTGGAAGGTGGGGTGTTGTGACCTAATTGGGCGCTCGCGCCCGCGACGCACTTTGCGTCTCTCTCTCGCGCGTGCTCTCTGATCACTCTCTATCCTTAACTAGGTACGAAGCCCCGCCTTCCAGCCGCCAATCCAGTTGAATCAAAGGGTACACATGTCAAAATATACAAGATAAATTATTTGCGAGCATTATACTGAGTAGGTCATTTTTCTCATTATTCTCCGGCATACCATAATTTGAAAAATTCCTTGGAGATCATTTTGAACTGCACTCTGACGTATTCGTGTTCCCATTCTTCCCGCATACTAATTATGATTTTTGACATTCCCATCCGCTATTGACAAATGCTCGCGCAACTCAATTAGTGCTACCAATTAGGGAATGGATACAAAGATTAGTAGCTGTTTACTTAATTCAGTTTGGCTCAATCGAGGGGCTACAGCGCAGAAGCACTAAAATTCCAGGATGCGAAACACTCATTCAAAAGGTACGAGCACGAAACTGCATTCAAAAGCGATAGGTTCAAGGATTGTACCTTATCTTTAGATCACTTCTACGCTCCTCTCCCATCCCCTCCCCCCCTTCGCATCGTAAAAATTAAAGATGAAGATTTCAGCTCAAATACGCGATGTTGGATTTATTGCATTTAGTAATAATCCGGTAACAAAATTTTCGCAAAAATAGAGAGGCGCGATATGATTTATTTCCTGAAAGTGAAAGCTGACTGTTTTGTTGTTTTGCAAGAACTTTAAGGAAGTTTCTAGAAGATGTGGGGTCATATTTTCCAAGAAAATTGGTAAGGTCAGTTTTCTGGGAATTCAAAAAGTTGCACTAGCATTCTCGGCTGAGCAAATCATTTACTGCAACGAAAATATGTGCGATAAGCGACGAATTCAAATGCCTCGGAGGGGAGGAAAAAGGAAGTGCCCCTGATAAAATGTTTGTTGAATTTCGTGAAAATAAATCCAAAATTTTTAAAAGGTTGGCGGTGGTACGCTTCTAAAAAATCCTCACAAAGTTGTTTTAATTATTCAAAATCCGTAAATTATTCAGTTTCCGTGATAAAATAAATTTAAGTTACGTGCACAATCCTGGAAGTCATGTATACGACTACAAAAAATTTCGAGGCCATTCTTGGGACGGGGAGGGCCAGCCAAATCAGTTCACCCCTTTATCTGATTTTTTACAGTCTTTACATAGGTTCCATATAAATATTTTGATTTCGCACTTTGTCTCTACTTCTAAATTTTTTTATCAATCTTAGAATGCAAAAATTCCAGGAAAATTACATTCACTGGAATATAAAGTAGAGATTACAGCTAGCTCTCTTGCATGTTTCAATTTTCAAATTACATCATTCCAGAGTGGATTAGAGAGCATTCATGCATGAATCGAAACCGCTTCTTTCCTTCATGGATCTCATGGGATTCCTCATTTCCGGGGATAGTACAGACAAGCTCCGCGGAGCTCTTTGCGTCGCGGCTGTGCATTTGGCTTCGTTTTCATGTCTAGACACGATAAAAGGGACATTAGGGCATGTTTTTGAGATGTTCTAGCACATGTATACACACTTAACAAAGCCGCAGCGCTGGCAAGTACGTAACACGTAACGTCGGACAATTATGCAGATGTGGTTATGGGAAAGAGGTTGTTAAGAGTTCATTCCGTTGAAAAAAAAATTATGTACGCAAAATCAATAATCGTTAGGATTTATGAGCAAATTTATGTGCACATTTATAAGAAAGAAAATGGACCATAACGATGATTGCAAAAATTAGGTTAGAGTCCATTTTCTGTTTGATGCGGTGAAACCAAGAAGAATTTTCTCAGCTTTAGCTGTGCAACCGAACAGTTTACTTGTTAATGTGTGCATTTGCACAACTCTCTGGGTGCGGGCGATATACGCAGACCTGTTAGTTAAGAAGTACACAACAATTGACCATTCATGCTTCTTCAAGCACGAATCCGCGTAAACAACGAAAAAACTATCAAAAAGAAGGGGAAAAGGAAAACAGTGTGGGGTTCCCGAGACGAAAAATTCTGGAAATGTGCAAATGCACACATTAACAAGGAAGCGTGCTCGGTTGTATAATCGCGTTGGTTATCGCTGCTCCAGAATTTTTTCCTGATAAAATATGGACCAAAAAAACAGCGAAGACTTGAAAGTATCTAAAAACTTAAATATGATGCGCATGAAACTACTAATACATGCCCAAACAAAATTCCTAGAAAACTCACCTCGTGCTGCTCTCATAGTGTCGCGTAGCCATTATTCCTGGGGACCACACCGTCGTCATTCACCAAAAATCCAAACCCGCGATGAAACTGTGCGTTGAATACCAGATATCAGAATTTTATGGCGTCATTCACTACGAAGAACAGCTGAGCTGATGAGAAGCATAGGTTGAACGTACGCTGTGGCGAAGCTCCGTTGTGCTCTGCCGTCGTTATCGACTTTCTTCTGGCCACTAGCCAAGCTCGGCCCCGCTTTACCTCCTATGGGTGGAGCTCCGAGCGAATGACGGGATGAAGCCGTGTTGTCCGATGAGCATGCTTAGAGCTCTGTTGTTCTGTAGAAATGAAATTTCATTACTCGTTGAACAGATTCCAAGATTGTCGAACGATTGCTCAAGGCTAGAGGCTTTTTTCCCTTTCAATAATGAATTTTTTCTAATCGGAAGGAACGATGACACAAAATACTTTTTAGGAAATTGGAACTGGTTGAAACGAAAGTTCGTTCGCACCATTTTTAAAAATATCAAAAACGAAACTTTTCCAATCGGACGGAACGATGATAGAAAAAAATTAATTTAAATTGGAAAATATTGATTGGAAGTTTGTTTCCCCCCCCCCTTTTTTTGAAAATTCATAACTTCTTATTTTCTCAAGGTATTTGGAAAATTTTGATTTTATCCAAAAGAGAAGCATGTTGCTTTACGATGGCATTGAAGATTCTGCAGAAAACTGCAGAGATAGACGCCCTTGAAGAAAAAATTTTGTTCTATGTAGGGTTGCCAAAAATCAACTTGCTCTAAAAATCAGAACTCGATTTAGATTTGTTAATTATATGGATTTATAGATTTATTTGGATTTATAAATTTGACACTCGCTCTTTCCATTCATGCAAATTGTGTTGAATGAGCTTTTCCGTGAAAAGTTATAATTTTCAAGAAGATGCTAAAAGCGAGTTTGTTGTTTTGAAGCGCTTGGTCGATCACAACTTTTTATGGAAGAACTCAATCAATACAATTTATGCTCAGATGTAAAGAGCAGGTCATAAAACCTAAAAAACCAAGCCCTCCGTTTTTTATGAGGTTCAAATTTTTGGCGACCCTACATATAAAAATCAAAATTTAAGTAATTTTCTTCCGCAGCTTCTATCTCTGCGTTGTTTGCGTTTTAGAGAACCTGCCCAATGCCACTGTGAAGCGCATAACTTTTCTTTTGAAATAATTGGAATTGTCCAAGTATCTTGAGAAATTAAGAAGTTATGAATTTCTTAAAATGGTGCGAATGAAGTTTCCTTTAAACCTAATACTATTAGGAACAGAATGTAAACGCATCCAAGTGTCCTGATGATCTCTTTCGAACTTCACACTTTTTGATAGCTTACAAGAAGGGAAGAGATATTCACTCTTCAATGGCTACTCAAGAATTTTATGTCAAAACAACCATTTTTTGCTACAGTTCATAAAGTTCATAAAGATTTGCTATCCGACTGTAAATTGTATTTATTTATTATTCAAAATTATTTAAATTTCCACACAACACACGGTGAGAAGTTGTGCTCTACTTTGATATGGAAAAAATGTAATTAGATATAGTTTGGTTGTTTCTTTTTATTTTTGTGGTATCACCAATGCTTAGCGTGGAGAAACATAGGAGGAAGAAAATTCTTCGCACTTTGGCTATCCCTTCTTTGACAGCACTTCTTAGCATCACTTTTCCAACTTACTAACTGTGAGTCTGCGATAGGCGGCTAACATTTCATGAAGCATTAGACTAATGCCAAACGGTGCACATTGTAACGACTTTCCACAGTACTGTTTCTGAGCATTCAAACCCCGAAAAAAGGCATTGTCACAAAATTTTAGGTAAACTGGGTCTGATAGTACTTTGAAGAATATCTGATTTGTAAACAAGTATCTGATTTTGCTTCATCTAACGCACCTAATTTGTACTAAACCAAAACCAGTGTTCCATTCAGTGAGCCGGTAATGAGTTTTCCTTGAATACATCAAGCAAATAATAGCACTTTGCACCAGTGGCGGACTGAGGGGGGGGGGGAGGACGCGAGCGGAGGCCCCTCTCCAAAAATGGGTAGCAAAATTTTTGATAATCACTTACTATTTATGATGATAAATGTGCAGGTGACTCCAGACAAGTGAACAATTGAAATAATTTTTGAAATCTTTTGAAAATTCATGTTAGCCTCTTTTAAAAATTCTATCGAGAGTGTGGATGCCGTCAAAAAATTTGTAGCGTGTGGCTAACGCCTTTACCAAAAAAAATCCTCTCTTCCCCACGCGAAAATCTTGAGACCGCCAATGCTTTGCTTGATCAAGAAAATCTCCACACAGCTATTGTGGAGACACATTCTCTGTTATAATTTTTATTACAAACTCACTTTTTTCATCAATGTCAAAATTAGGATATAGGGCCACATGAAAAACGAATAGAAACATGCATTTATAGCAGCTTGATCCTGATCAAATCAAAATAACTACAAGCATTCAAATCTCTATGAAATCAAAACTACGAGTGACTTTACAATCACTGGAGGAGAAGACCGAAAGAAATAAAAATCGTGTACATCTTGCTAACTGATAAAACATATTTACTTATACTGACAAAGGAAGGATGGTTGGTCGAAGTGGCCTTTTGAGACAGAACATATACCATCTCGAAGGGCATAGCTAAGAGCTGGCCAGGACAGTCCACCACCGTCTGGTTTTTGCGGTCGCTAGGGGGTTCTTCCCTCTCCACATCCGGATCAGCGAATGCCCGGGTTGAAATCAAGAGTAGGAATAGTAAGTCTGCTCTAGTAGGGGAACAAAGTCTATTACTCCGCCAGTGAGAAGGATAGAAAGAAACCCCCAAGAACGATGTCAGGGTCCACATCGGAGCCCGCCGGGTGGTAACAAGAACGATGTCAGGGTCCTCAAGGTGCCTTCTGGATTGGACAAAAACGACATGTCTGCCCGGACGACATGCCATGGGGACTGCCTCATGCTTTGCACCTACAACGCCAAGACAGCCTCCACAAACGCCGATCTCCACGCTCTTCTCTTATCGACGCTGCAAAGCACACCAAGTACCACGTCATCGCTCTGCAGGAAACGAAGTCCAAGAAGGGTGCGGCAGATGAGTGATGGGACCCTCATCATTCGTGGTGTAAGGTTCTATCACGAAATATTGGAGGGTTGGCTCTGTCGTCCACTCTATCGTGTATCCATCTCGTCGATTCACATAAGATCCTATCACCTCGACTAGCCATCCGACGACTACGATCTCCACTCCAAGTCAAAAGACCTCAGCATCATCATGCTATTCGCCAGAATCAACTGATGACTCAAATTAGATGCATTTTACGAAGACGTGGAGGAGGTCGTCCGCGACAAGAAGTCCTTCTACAAGTTTGTTGTGGGCGACTTTAATGCAAAAGTCGGAATGCGCTATAAAAGGAATAAGGATCGGGAAGTTTGGATGTGAGCTCCGGAACAAAAACGGCAACCATCTTGTTGGGCTTCTCTCCGCCGCGCGACTTTTCCATGGACATTCCATCTTTATGAAGAAAGAACATCGCCGGTGGACATGGAAATCGCCCAACGGAATGACTCATGCGGAGATCGATCACATTCTCGCCAACCGAATGTGGAGCTTGCTCAATATCTCAGTAGTTCCATCCTTCTGCAGTGGCTACGATCACTGCCTCCTTCGAGCGAAGATACGACTCAGCCAAAGGCTGGAAAAGAAAGTCTGCCACAGTGCCGCGAGAAGGAAGGAAGTCGTTTGTGACGGTAACAGGCTGGAAGAGCTCATATCAAGATGTGACTCCATCGAGGAGGACCCAACATACGACTACGACCGGCTTCTGAAAGGATTGCGAGCTTGCGGAGAGTGCGCTTCAGTAAGTTCTGAGAAGAACTACGCATTTCGAAGAACACCAAGGAACCGCTCGAAAAAAAGATTACTGGGGCAGGATTCGAATGCAACCCAACTCGAGCGACTGATATCTAACGCCAGTTGCAGGATAGCTTTGCAGGGGGACCTCAGGAAGCAGCCGAAGGAAGTCGAAGTCTCAAGAAGTGCCGAAGGGAACCCTGTGAATATCACGTACCGCTGGCTGTGTTAAGCGAAGACGGGACTCCAACTTCTTCCCGATATAAGATGGAATCTATCGCGAAGAATTTCTACACCAACCTCTTCCGCTCATCAAAACCCGTGCCGATGCCCGTTGTTCCCGCTGGAGAAGTATCACCGCTAATTCCACCTGCTGAAGTGCGCACGGCATTCAGACCGTGAAGACGTCAACGGCTCGCCAGACCATCTTTCGAATTTCCGCGACATCGTTTACACGAGATTTTCGCGTCGCACCCGACATCTTAAAGGCAGTGGACAGGCAGAATGGACCCCTGTCAGATTTTGGTAGTTTCGGGTAGTAGACCCCCCAAGTAGATCATAGCCCCAAGCCCACCTTCCAATTCATGCGCTAAGTCCTGAAAAAGCGCTTCGAAATTCCACCAATAACGCCCACTCAATGGAAGTGGGCGGGGCTGGTGGAGTTTTGAAGCGCTTTTTTCAAGACTTAGCGCATGAATTGGAAGGTGGGCTTGGGGCTATGATGTACTTGGGAGGTCTACTACCCGAAACAATCAAAATCTGACAAGGGTCCATTCTGCCTGTCCACTGCCTTTAAAGACAGTGTCCGGGCAAAAACTCAACTTTAAGAAACTTCCATGTTTCCTCCTTTCTTAACCTCGGCATAGTTAGTTGTAATGTGGTGAGTAGTTAGTATGGCCGGGCCGCCACTACTAACAATAAATCTACTAACCTCGTGCTGGCATACTAACTACTCACCACATTTCAACTTTGAGATTTTGTGCTTATCCAGGCCTAATCGCTATGCTGAATTCGAAAATCCACATTGAAGAGCGCGAAAAGGGCGAAAAAGGGCACTAACGCAGTAGGGAAACAGCAAGTGGGGGGGGGGGTGCTCCCCACCGTGAATTCACGCTCCCAACTTCTGGGGGGGGGGGGGGAACCCGCCCACCTGCTGATTTCCTTCCTGTCTTAGAGCCCTTTTTCGCCGTTTTCGCGCACTTTAGTGTGAATTTTCGGATTCAGTATAGCGATTAGGCCCGGATAAGCACAAAATCTCAAAATCGAGTTTTTGCCCGAACACTGCCTTTAACTTCAGAAGGAGAGGATTCCCGACCAGTAGAGAACGTCAAGAACTGCCCTTCTTTTCAAGAAGGGCGAACGGGAGGATCTTCGGAATACCGTCCATGTCTGTTGAGAGTGCTGTACAAGCTTTTCGCGAAGATTATCTTCGCTCTCATATCTAGGATACTTGATGAAGCTCAACCCGGACAAGCTGGATTTCGCAAATTCAGCTGCATGGACCACATCCAGACGGTTTCGAGGGTCATGGAATTCTGCCGGGAGTACCGACTGCCTCTCGTCCTAACCTTCGTCGACTACGAGAAAGCCTTTGACAGCGTCGAAATCAACGCCATCCTGTCAGCGCTAGTCGATCAAGGAGTGGACCCAGTTTACGTGAGGACGTGAGCCGACTATTACAAGGACTGTACAACGACGATGCAGCTGTTTCATCGCCCCTGACCATTCAATTGGGAAGGGGTCCGACACGACACAATCTCGCCGAAGCTGTTCACGGCGGCCTTGCAGTGAGTGATGAGGTCTGGGACAAGAGAAGCATACGAGTTTATGGGAGATTCCTGTCGAACCTTCGTTATGCGGACGACATCTTTCTCTTTTTGAGCAGTATCACGGAAGCAGAGACGATGCTGAAGGAACTAATCGAAGTAGGGAAGAAGATCGGATTGCGAATAAATCGGAAGAAGAATTAGTTCATGAAGAACGCCCTTGGCGAAGATGCAGAAATGGAATTGGAAGGCACCCCTATCATGGAGATGTTTTCTTACGTGTATCTCGGACATTCAGTGAACATGAGAACGACTTGAGAGAAGAACTTAACAAGAGAAGAAGAGCAGCCTGGGCCGCCTTCGGGCTTCTGAAGGAAGCCACTGACCAACTGACGAACCCAGAGCTTCGTGCTCACCTGTTCGACTCAGACGTTCTCCCGGCGCCCTTACGCAGCTGAGACACTGTAGCCACGTCGAAAGCTTTAGGACCATCAACAGAGCGCTCGAGCGCAGTCTTCTGAAGATGACCCAACACAAGCAACATCTCGTCGGACTTCGCGGTACAGATTTGAGAAGAATGTCCTGTCTTCGTGACCCAGCGGACTACGTTGCGAAGCGAAGCATGGATGGGCCGGTCACATTATGAGAAGAATAGACGACAGATGGACATTAAGAACATCGGAGTGGATTCCTCGCGAAGCAAAACGTCCCCGAGGAAGACCTCCAACGAGATGGGCAGACGTGTTCGTGGAACGGATGGACCAGCTGAGGTTTCTAGGTAAGCAAGTAAGTAAGTACCATCCCTCTTGCCGTCTGCGGTCTCTTCAACGAAGTCTCAGTAGGCCCAAGGACGTCCGTCTAGTGAAATTATCTGCACATCTTGTTTCGACCCAACTCAAGCCAAAACTAGTATGGCCGCGTCCGCCACGTAACGCTTCGCGTCGTATCGCAATGCAGGGCAGGGTGTCGTGGCAAGACGCTCTGCGTCTTTTCATTCTCCTCGGTCTTTGCTTTGCGGAATGCCAAACGCTGTGTTCTCGCCAAGCCTTCAGCGATGCGGTCGTTCCGCACATGAAATGTTTGCAATGGATTAAATCAGATTGTAGATTTTCGTCGAAGACTGTAGCTCCTTACAAGGCCTGTATCTTATCTCCCTGGCAAGTTTGTACACGAACTGACTCGTGCGAAACGAGTGAACACCGGCTGTCAAGCGCAAAATGGAAATGACACATGATCTCCAGTAATTTGCCGGAACTTCCGCAGGAGCTCACTTGGGAGCCTCCGCAGCAAGTTTTCCGCAGGTGACTCGGCATCACTCCCCCAAATGCCCTGCGGAACTTCCGGTCAGTTCTCTGAGTTGAGAATGCTAGGTGAAGTTTGACTGTGGTGCTCGCTTCGTCGTTATTCAACCGCTTCGGCGCTTTGCCACAACAGAAGAACTTAAATACTGCGAAATGGCCGTTGTCATTGGAGCGCGTTTTCATCTCAGAACTTAGCGCTGTGCTCCATTTTCGTAACATGTGTTCTTTTCTTGCTTGAATCGTGGACCTTTCCTCTTTTAGATGTTCTGTACTGTCTCGGTTTTGCTCGTTATTTGTCATTCTGTGATTGTTTTATATTGTTCACCTTCCAGAGTGCAATTCTTGTGGAAAAATGTCCGGTGGAAGCGGTGTTCCTCTGTCGGATCGGCTAAACGTGGAAAAAAACAAGCTGGACAAGAGCATCAGAGACTACCACATTTTAGACCATCCTGACTGGCAGCTACGACCAACATATACACTTATTCGATTTGAGGCAAACTAAGGAGCCTTTGCGGATCGAGGAGGTAAATCCGTTTCCTAGCACTAATGCAAGGCTCAATCCTTTTCAGACAGCTGGAGGTGTTTGGTACATAGAAGATGTTCAAACACATGAAAATCGTCATGTAGCTGCTTGCATGTATGGTGGATGGGCAATCCTTGATGAAAAATATAACATATGACAATCAGATGAGAAAGCTGGGAAGGAACTTTTGTACGGTGTAACAATGGCTAGCGAACATTTGGTGGTTTATACAACTTTCAACGACTATAGGGTCACTGCCAGTACCATATGATATTTCTCGTTGTCTTTGAATTACCTTTTCATCCTTTTATTTTTTATTCTTTTCGTCTTTGCATAGATTATGAATCACAGATATACAGCCAAATTCAGGCTATGCCGATTTTACATTGGTTTTGATATGTACAACAATATCATAATACCCTGGAAGCATTTCCAACATGAGATGAATCTGTAAGTGCTGCGTTTTGAGGGCTGCAGGGTAGCACATAGATATCCGTCTTCCATGCCAGCGTTTCGATAGGTACATCTGCGTAGGAGAACTATAGGGGAAAAATATTTCACATGAAAACTTTGAAACATCTCCGCTTCCAATCTTGAAAGAGAAAATAAGATGAACCAAATAATTTACCTATGGGTGCTTTGCAAACTTCACCATAAACAACGTTGATCAAAGGTTCCGACGTGACGAATTCAAACCGCAATCTCCATTTCAAATGTACTGAGACAGATTTCAAGTAAATGACAGCTGAGTACCAACGAATTAGCAGGCGTACTAGTGTCTGTGTGGAAAGTTGGAGGAGCATACATCGGTATTGATAATCGAAACGAACTTTCAAATGCATAGGCACATACGACATAATCGTTCGAGTATACAGCGACGTTCTCCTGAAACTGGTATGACTCTTTAGAAAGTTAAACTCGAAACAAAAGATCTACACAAACCATTCCTTCCGTTTTGATCTCGCCACGCTCTCCTACCACATCTTCAGCGAGCTGTTCTACAGTTTCCAGTGCTCAACCACGTCATCCTTGGTGGTGACCGTAACTTTACCGTAGCAATGAAGTCAGAAACTTGGACAAAACTCTCAACAACAACGACAAAGTTTTGGACAAAAATTCAGGAATATCGAGGTTCAATTGAAACCGAGTTTCGGCAGTGATAAGCCGAAATTCGGTTTCGAATACATTCAACTTGCTATTTTCCAACAACATTTTTTTGCAAAAAGCTATGATGACAAGTCTAGCATGTGAGAATGGTGGTCAGGTGATGTAAAAGAGAGTCGAAAACACAAACTCCTAATTGAGCCTCTCATCGTACACCATCGTAAACACCCAATGACATTTTTAAAGCATAATGTTTCGACCAGCATGGTCAACACTCCCGATAGACTGAGCAACAGCGCCAAGAACTGGTCATATCTTGCCACTTTTTCGACAAAAAGACAAATTAACATACCGGTAGTCTCTGATGCTCTCGTCCAGCTTGCTTTTTTCCACGTTTAGCCGATCCGACAGAGGAACACCGCTTCCACCGGACATTTTTCCACAAGAATTGCACTCTGGAAGGTGAACAATATGAAACAATCACAGAATGACAAATAACGAGCAAAACCGAAACAGTACAGAACATCTAAAAGAGGAAAGGTCCACGATTCAAGCAAGAAAAGAACACATGTTACGAAAATGGAGCACAGCGCTAAGTTATGAGATGAAAACGCGCTCCAATGACAACGGCCATTTCGCAGTATTTAAGTTCGGGTGTGGTGCGGAAGGCGACAAAACCCAGCAGAGGCGAGAGAACGGTGGCCACGCCTCCTACTTGCCTACTGTTTAGTGCTGACCTCGAGTCAATTAGTCAGATTGACGCTCTTGCGGCGCATAGGCTGGCGCCTGAATGGTAGCGGTGTCCTATTCGACTGCTCTATTTTGTTCATCAAAGGTCGTTGTGCAAAATTTGGTAGGTGTGATCACTCAGTGTACGAAAGAAAGATTACGTAGGGCTCAACTTGTAAAATTCGTAGGTTGTTTACTGATAGCTAACTGATTGCAATGTAACATTTGGCGAAATTCGATTCCGGTCTTTACATAACTTACTAAGCATATTTCGACTAGCTTTTAAACTGAGTGAGAATAACGGAATTGCATCAATTTTAGGTAGTTGTGGCTATCAATCGAATCAAACACAATAAATGCTGCAAAGCAGTTTCCTTTCGAGGCTCAAAGTAAGACAGAATCCTGATTTTCTGGCAAAATGTCAACATCAATTTCTATCCAGCTCGTAGCTCAACTTGTAGAATTCGTAGGTTGTTTACTGATAGCCAACTGATTGCAGGTGAGATTTGGCAGCGGAATTCGGTTTCGGTCATTATGTAACTCACGAGGCATATTTCGATTAGCTTCTAGATTAAGTAAGAATAACGGAATTGCATCAGTTCTATGCAGTTATGCGGCTATCATTCGGTTAGAAATGAAACAAAGACAGTGAAACAAAGCACAGTGCTGCAAAGCAGTTCCTTCCAAGGCTCAAAGTAAGAAGAATCTCATCCTCTGGCGAAATGTCAACATCAATTTGTGCCTAGCCGGACCTCAAACACGGTGTAGCGATATCTTTCAGAATTTAGTCTTTGACAATACTTCTGTTTATTTTATATTTTTCTCCTCACAGTTCTTTGCTTGACAGTGCAAAAAAGAACACTTTATTCGCAAGAAATTGCACGAGAGTACAGCTACAAGAGAAGGAAATGATACTATCACTCAGCGATGCAAATGACTTCGATGTTATGAACTTGTACATTTAAAATGCACAACCTGCCCAAAACCTTGTCTCTGTAGGTTCCTAAAAAAAACCGAATCACAAGGAAAGCCCAAGTCTAATGTAGAATACAATTTCACCTCAAAAACAAATATTCCTGTACAGAGTTTCCAAAGCTTTTCTGCAATTCTATTGGTTCCACATAGTCATTATCGACGACAGTACCTACAAGAGAGCTATATATTCAAAAATACTGCTTACAAGTGACTGAAATCATGTTAAGTCTTACTATTTCTTTGAGAAAAGAAAAGAATCTACAACCGTTAAGACAACGATAATAAAAATAACGATGATAAGAAACCATATGAATGCACAAAAGCTGGGCAGCGTTTGGCACTGATAACATGAGTGTAAGTAGCAATATACAAAGTACTCACATCAATGGTTCTTGAGCTCGCCCCTGTTCGAATGCACTTACGCGTGACATCCACCCTCCAGTGCTAGAAAAAGGCTTGCGAAGTTAAAGCAGAAAAGGAGTGAGTGTGACGGGTGGAGGACATTAGGTCGCCGAAAAAGGGCGGTCCCCGCGGTCATTTGCGACAAATACGCACCCTTGTACATGCGCGGACATGCTTTCCTGCAGGGAATCCGCGCGGGACTCTTCCAAATTCGGCGACCTAATGTCCTCCACCCGAGTGTGACCGCTTACCTTTTCATAAGTCCATAGCTATCGCTCACCAAGTCGAAAGCAACATCTTGCGCATATCTCAACTAAAATGGAATCGAATAAGTTACGTAGTCAATTTGATGATGACAAAAACATGCTAACTATGAAAGGGTTGAAGGTCCAAGATATTGACTAAATAAGCAAAGTGTGAGATGCAAAAGTGGAAACAGCACAGAAACACGAGAAGTATCACTAAAGAGTCAGTTAACAGATCCTTTTGAGTCGCTCATGTGTACATCTCCTATGAGGGAACTCCCGCATTAAACATTACCCCTGTGAGCATATGCTTACACAAAACGTGAAAAAAATACAACTCATAAACGATAGACACGAACAGAGACAAAGGCGAAATCACACAAGAAGCGAAACATGTAGAAAACGTGCAGTCGCGCTCCGGTACAAAGATATTTGAAGGGCGGGAGTTGACGGACAACTCGGACAGGGCGTGGCCACTAGTCGCGCCTGTTCCAGGGCATTTGTCGCCTTCCGCGTGTTCCCCTTTAAGTTCTTCTTTGCCACAACCTATAGTATTTTTGGAAGTTGGATGAATTGATTTTACGCGACGTGGTTGCTGCTGCAGACAAGCGCGCCTTTTAGCGCTCCTCGACGCTTCCTGGTTTTCCAAATTGAGGACGAATGAACAACTTTTTCCTTTTCAAGTTAGAATTCATACCACATGTCCCTGCATTCTAATCAGATATACCCCAGCAGTAAGTCTGAGTTAAATGCTCATTTACCATCTATTTACATCTTGTGAAGCAACTATCGTACTTTTATTTTATATTTCTTTCTTTCGGTTATGCTTTCTTCTGTTGATAACCCATTTCGGTAGTTACATGTTAAACATTATAGGGTATGTCAAAAAGACGTCGTCACGGTTCGTCCGGTGACGACATAGACGGTGAACCAATTCCATCAGATCCAGAGGAATTCAAAAGCGAGTCGGCACTGAAGCGGCACAAAACCAAAGACGATCATGCTAGGAATGGAGATAAGAAAAGTGAGAAGAAGATGGAGAAGAAAATTGTCGAAAAGAAAAGAAGGGGACGCAGCTCGTCAAAGAGCAGATCATCAAGTTCATCGCGCTCTGCCTCGCGTAGCTCCAATTCTGAAGGTAGCCATTTTTTTTATAGTTGAAGTTAGATCAAAGAAATTGTCATTAGGGAAATAAAAAATTGGGAGTGAAGGTCCAGTCCATCAGTTTTTTCTTTAAAACGCATCGTTCTTTTGGCCGTGCATTGCAGTATCCCTTGCCTCGCAAAGCATATATAAAACCATCAGGCTCCTCAGACGATTCTGCCAGCAGTAAATCTTCAGCTTCGCCAAAGGCTCTTCCGTCAAAGTCCAAGGGCCGTGCAGAGGAAGGAAAGAGACGAAAGGAATCGACTGAGCCGGGTACGTTGGTTGTTTTTCTTTGCTTTTTAAGTCCTCATCTGTTTTGGCAGCTATCTTACCTTTACGCTACTTTATAGCAGTCTTATACTTACTCGTTTGAATTCACTGAGGTCTTTTTAGCTGAGAAGCGTCGTGCACCTTCTGATGTGAAGAAGCCAAGAAAAGCTTCTGAATCTCCTCCACCAAGGCAGAGGTGTGTCCATTAATTTTCCATCAGTTCAATAAGTTGTTAGGTGTAGATAATGGAGACATTGGTGCGAAGCCTTAAAATTTGAACGACTTATATCCTTTAGGTCCCCGCAACCAGCAAAGGATTCAAAGCCAACTTCTAGATCGAGGAAGGATGAGCAGGCCAGGTCCAGAGATCCCAAAGAGTAAGTGACAACGATCTTTACCTTCAAAGCTTTCTGAATAAACGTTCTTTACATATCATCGGCTCCAAGATTCGTGTGGAGGCGGGTTGCGGACTTCCCTGTTTTTCAGGATTAACTTGTTAAACCTCCACGTTATAGCATTGTTTTTTGTACCCTCTCATCAAGCTTATCCTCAAAATCAGGGAAGTCCGCAATCCGCCTCCACACGAATATGGGAGCCGATCATATATGTAAGACTGTTTGATTCATTTTCTTATTACTGTTGTCCAAAATTTTTTTGTAGATCTGAGTCAGCCCGTTCAAGAAGCAAAAGGAGCCGTTCGCGTTCCGAAAGCCCTAACAACAAAAAAGGACGAGAAGAAACAAAGGAGAAACTGGAGGCAACAAAACAAAGAACGAGTAAAGGACAACGTTCACCGTAAGTATGGACATTTAACAGTGCTCTTAAGTGTCAGCTTTTGTATAATTTGAGATCACCTTCCGAGAGACGATCTCGTTCCCCAGAGAAGCAGTCGTCGAAATCAGTGAAGCCAAAGAAGGGTGCGGAAGAGTCGCGCTCGAAAGATACGGTTGAACCTTCTTCAAGGTGAGTTTCACATTCATCTTCCGTTCATATCACACTCACATATACGGCGAAGCCTTGTCTAATTTTTTTGATTGTGACTTATTTTATCCTTTTACCTCTAATCTCTCACACAAATCCAATAAATCTTACATTTTAGAGATGCGCGGAAAAGTGATCGTAAGGAAAAACCCGAGCGTGACGTATCCAGTGGCTCCGAGAAGGATGAAGCAAGAGCAGAAGATGAAAAGAAAGCGAAAAAGAGGCACAAGAAGAAGAAGTCCAAGGAGTCCAAAAAGAAGCACACACATTCTTCGTCCGAGGGTGAAGAATCTGATGAAGATGCTCATAAGAAGAAGAAGGCAAAGAAAGCGAAAAAGAAGAAGAAGCATGGTGATAAGCACAAGAAGAAACATCATGGATCGGAAAGTAGCGCGGCTTCAGACCATGAATCTCATGCTAGTGAAGAAGAACCTAAAGAGAAAGAGGCAAAGAAAGCGTCAGAAACGAAGAGAGATGATCGCGGAAGGGAACGATCTCCAGAAGAAAAGACCCGCGAAAAACCGAGGGAAGGAGATAAATCGCAGAAAAGCAGAAATTCTGACGAGCCTGTGAAAAAGTACGTTGAAAAGGAACGTCGTGAAAGAGAAAACGAGAAAGTAGAGAAGCGCAAAGCACAGGATAGTCCACCTGCAGAGGATCGTGGTGCTCGTCGGAAAAGGCAGGATTCTGTGGCGGAGAAATCACCTACACCGGAAAGGAGAAGGTCGCAGACTGAAGAAAAGAGAGCTGGAGGTGAAAAACCTGTAGATGTGTCTCGTAAGGAAAGGAGTAAATCTCCCCCGAGAAGAGGACGAAGTAGATCACCGAGAAAAGAGAGGAGCAGGTCACCTGCTCGACGGGAAAGAAGCAGATCTCCAGGAGAGCCCGAGAGAAGAAGGGAAAGGTCGAGAGACAGAAGTAGGAGCCGTGAGAGAAGAAGGAGTCCGCTCAGACCACCAGTTCGCTATGAGCGATGGCGCCGAGAAACTTACCTCGACAACCGTCGTTGGGATGACCGAAGGAGATGGGAGGACCAACGTCGACGTCGAGACGATTCTCGTGACCGACGTAGAAGGGATGATTCGCGAGATCGCAAGCGACGTGATACTTCGCGTGACAGACGAAAGAGAAGTCGCTCCAAGGAACGAGAGGAGAGCCCGAAGATGTGGCCGAAGAAGGTGAAGAAGGAAGTGAGTTCGTCTGAGGAATCCGGAGGTGAAGAAAAGTGAGTTTTGCTAGTTCTTTCCTCGAAACCTTCGAAAACCTTTGACATTTAGAACCAGCTCATCAGAAGAACAAAAGAGAGCAGCTTCACCATCTTCGAAAAAGAGGTACGTACGCATATAAAATATTGTCTCGATTTTTACTTTGTGGAATTGAAAGTTTTAATTCCACCACGTTTAGAACACTAATTATTGAAAAGTTGGACTGGGAAATCTCGCTTTTTTCAGGACATCTCCTGACCCAAAAAGATCGCGCAAGGAACCTTCGCCTAGACGACATAGGTGGGAATTTTCACAGTTGCGAATATCTTGTGAGTTGAACTGATTTTATAAATCTAAGTTGTTGTAGGCACTGAACTTTTTTTGGTTTATTTTGCTTTACTGTTTTTGCAATGTTTTGAGAGAGTCTGTTCCAGAAATACCGATGAACGAGACAGTAGAAATCGTAGAAGGTGGGTTGGAGATTAGCAAATAATGAATGAGCAAATAATGACGCAATTTGTTTGAACTCTCTTGCTTGATTTTGTTGGAGTTTTGCGAAAGTTTTGCGCTTGACAGCATTTCCATTACCGCTTCTCATTAATGATTATATGTGCTCTCCTGGCGCTTTGGCCACCTATGCAACTAATAACAAATGCTAGCCTGATCTGTGTCGGATACCCCATATGAACAGCGCCGTCAAAAATTATGAATTTTCTGAGTCCATCAACTAGGTTTCATGTTGTCTAAAAGTGTCTTTTTAGATCCAAGTCAAGATCGCCATCTCGTGAAAGGAAAGAAAGGTGGTGTTCGTCTTTTTGTATAATGAGAGTTATGTTTGGAGTTCTAGCAGAAGATCTCCACAGGGTGGTGGTAGAAACGATGTCAGCGGTCCTGATTCGAAGAAAGAAAGGTACAACTCACCGCAATATTGGCTAGTCTCTTCTTCTATCTCCTCTTCAGAGATCGAAGAGGCAATGGTGATGACCGAAGCCGAGAGATTAAGAAGGAGCCATCGGATACGCATCAGTCTACGGAGAGGGACACGTCCGGAAAGAACTATGGATTAGAAAAAAGTGAGAATATTTGGATGTGGGTGTTCTGGCTATATAGTTGAATTTTGCAGGGCCAAAGCGCGAAGTAGTAGATGAGGATGAACGTCATGGTACTGATGCGGCTTCTAAGTAAGTCCTCACTCTATAATAATTATGAATCTTGCATGCTGGAAGAATTTCCAGAGAACACTGGAAGAAATCGGCTGAAGCATGGGGTCTGGATAAGAAGGATGAACCCCCGCCGAAAGAAAAGGAAAAGGTAAGAGTGCTTGTATTGTTGGTGATCAATATTTTAACATCGGTTTTGAAGCAAAATGGGCCTTACTCTTTTGATCGTGCACGTTTCCTCTGTTTCATTTGCAACCTCTAGTCAAATAACTAGGTTGCAAATTGCTTTGCATTGCTATGACTCACTATGTAAGAAATTAGCTTTTATTGCAAAGTCGTTTATGTTTGAACCCGCCTTTGCGAATTCAGCTGGAACTCTCTCGCGTGCACAGGGCTTTAACGGCATGTTCATATATGCTGGGACTGATACTCGAGGTAGCTACGCGCAAACTGTTTAGCAATTCTATCTTTACTTCAAACTGTGCATCGTCTAACATGTACTAGAGGGCGCTGGCATCATTTCAACAATTAGGCTTTTGCAAAGCCTTTCGGTCTCTTATCTTTTAATGATTGACATCTGTAGTCAAAAATTATTCTTCCAAACTTTTAGACTAACTTCCATAATCTTAGCCCTTCAAAGTGGATTATCTGTCAGCGCTAGGTACCTATAGTTTCAGTAGTAACCGAAACTTTTACGGGAAAAGCAATTTTATCGAAGTAGGGAACGTTTGCATCTATGATGATATTTTGAAAATTTGTAACATCACTTATCTTGAGGTCAACCTTGGAGTGAGTGGGAAATTGGCAGAGGACACCAACATGTATCGTGGAGTTCTGATTAAATATAACGAGCCACCGGAAGCTAAGAAACCAACTCTAAGGTAATCTAGTGTCAAATTATATGTTTACTAGCGGCCCTACGGGCCGCTGTAAGTGGGTCGGGGCAGATACATTAGTATTTGCTTACTTGGGACTGCATTGAACTATAAACGGTGTTCACATCTCCTCTCTGGAGAAGCTAAATAAATCAAAAATCAGACTTTGCAGGTAGACACAAAAATACCTGATCTTTCCCTCCAAATGCCACCATCAGATTTCACTTACTTGATACACTTGCTTCTTTCGTTGCTCACTTAAAATCAACATAATCGCTTTCCCAAAATGCTGACCAATGCAGATGCATGGTGTGTTTTTCCTCCGGGAGCAAAGGAAGGCTGGTGTTTTCGATTTCGACAGAATTTCTGCGGCTGAAGTTTTGTCGAAATCAAGGTTTTTGTGGAACTTGTGAGAAAAACAAAAATTTTCGCTCTAAAAACAGGTCAGCCACAAAAGGGCTTGCCGGAGCCCAACCAGCGAGACCACAGCTTCCATGGCTCGGGAGCGAAGGCATTTTCTGGCTGAAATTTTGTCGAAATCGAGGTTTTTACCGTCTTTGGTGGAAATTGTGGGAAAAAACAAAAATTTTCGCTCTAAAAATAGGTCAGCCACAGAAAAAGTTTGCCGGAGCTCAACCAGCGAGACCACAGCTTCCATGTTGGGTCTTCACTCCGGGAGCAAATGCATTTTCTGTGGCTGAAATTTTGTAGAAATCGAGGTTTTTACCGTTTTTGGTGGAAATTATGGGAAAAAACAAAAATTCTCGCTCTAAAAACTGGTCAGTAGCAGAGAAAGAACGTGCCAAAAACCCACTTTTTGCTGTTCAATTGCTCTTCGGATTGGGATTTCGTCAACATTTCACAAAATGTTGAGCTCTGACGACTATTCTATGAAGAATTACGATGCTCAGATTTCCTACCAAACTGTTATGCATCCTACCAAACTGTTATGCAAATTGGGAGAGGGGGGGGGGCAAGGGAGTCTTTAGAATGAAGGAGGAATGTAGCTAAGGAAGTGAAAAGAAGTGGAACTGTGTATGTAAGCAGTAGGTATGCTACAGCTGTGAGGGCCGTGATCAAACCGAATATACGGTATTTCATCACAATTCGTCATCGCAAGCAAAGTCAAAACACTTGCCGTCATCGCATGCCTATAGGGTGCGATCAATTGACAAATGTCGAGACAACTCTCTCCTCTCTAGCTTGCCTACGGATAGGAGTACACCGTTTCTCTAGAATTCTCGTCGTCCTTAACCTCTGCGAGAGAGGGTGATTTCTCGCGTGCTCACACAGTCAACAACTCTCCCTCCGCAACGCTGAAGGTGGGCGTCAGGGTGGAAGAACAATGTATGGTTTTCGTCGTCTCGCCGGATGTTTCCAGTTTATATATAAGAAAGATTCTCTAGAATTCTCATCGTCCTTAAAGGCAGTGTCTCACCAAAAATTAGTTGCCGAGATTTTTGCATTTTGCAAGCCTGTCGGACAGTGTCTAGCACTGTATGGGCTCAAAATCGCACGACGTTCCCAAAAACCCCGTTTTCTGGAGGCCCCGCGGAAGCAACGTGGACGAGTTGTACCTTCCAACTTCAGCCTCAGCCACAGTGGCAGCAACAGAGGGGAGGGTGGATGGCCAAGTGGAGGGACATGTTCAAACGCTTAAGGGGGGAGACCGAAGGAGTCGTCCGCGCGTACTAATTCGCTCTCCGCGTACCACTTTGAGCGAATTTTTTTCACCGTGGAGGGGGTCAAATTGAGTGGGACTTGTTGCAATGGCCTATTTGGGGGTCCCTATGCTCAGATAATCGCCGGGGGCAGGCGATCCGCAAACTCGCGCTTTTCTGCAGGCGGTCAGCAGAATTTTGGGGCGTGGCCAAACTTCAGCGGGCGGTACTTCCGTCTTCTGCCAGCGGGCAGCAATACAAAATTTCCTGCAAGCGCTCCGCAAATAATTTCTTTCAGCGAGCGCTGGCCAAATTTTCAGCAAGCGCTCGGACTCTTTTTAGGCATTTTCACGCGTACGTCGAGCGCAGGTAAGACTCTGTGTGCCAGAGGTGTCACCGTTGGTTTAGTTACTCAAGTTTGAGGTACTTTCTCTCAGCGGAAAGTACCTAGGGTTAAGCGGTCCTCCACAAAGGACCGTGCGGCCCTCGAAATTTTTGCATATTCTCGCGGAAAGTCCGCGAGAATGCGGCCACTGCGCCGCAGCTAATCCATAAAGAAACCGCGATTGTTCTTCAAGCTTTCGTCTTTAATTTCGCCAACTTTCTTTCAGATTTCTGCAAGCGGGCCGCAAAAAATCAACGAACTATTTTTCCGGTGCCCGCCTGTTCATAAATCGCATCGCCGCTTGCCCCCGGCGATTATCTGAGTGATAGACTATGTGAAGATCCGCGCGACCTTAACTTTGGTGAGACACTGCCTTTAACCTCTGCGAGAGAGCGTGATTTCTCGCGTGCTCACACTGTCAACAACTCTCCCTCCGCAACGCTGAAGGGGGGCGCCAGGGTTGAAGAACAAGGTATGGTTTTCGTCGTCTCGATGGATGTTTCCAGTTTATATATAAGAAAGATATCGAAAAAACAGTTCATGCCCTAAGTGCCGCTTGAAGACCATTTAAAAATTACAAGAATGCCCCAAGCTTATGAAAATCTGTTCCCCTGCACGATCGAGTTGGCCTACGTACCGCTTACAGACCGATAGTAACTATTTGAAATGAAAGTTCATGCCCTAAGTGCCGCTTGAAGAACGTTTAAAAATTATAAGAACTGCCCCAAGCGTATAAAAATCTGTTTCCCTACACGATCGAGTTGGCCTACGTACCGCTTACAGACCGATAGTAACTATTTAAAATGAAAGTTCATGCCCTAAGTGCCGCTTGAAGACCGTTCAAAAATTATAAGAACTGCCCCAAGGTATAAAATCTATTTCCCTGCACGATCGAGTTGCCCTACGTGCCGCTTACAAACCAATAATATCTATATATAGAAGACAGTTCATGCCCTAAGTGCCGCTTGAAGAACGTTCAAAAATTATAAGAACTGCCCCAAGCGTATGAAAATCTGTTTCCCTGCACGATTGAGTTGGCCTACGTACCGCTTACAGACCGATAGTAACTATTTGAAATGAAAGTTCATGCCCTAAGTGCCGCTTGAAGAACGTTTGAAAGTTATAATAAGAACTGCCCCAAGCGTATAAAATCTGTTTCCCTGCACGATCGAGTTGCCCTATGTGCCTCTTACAAACCAATAATATCTATATCTAGAAGACAGTTCATGCCCTAAGTGCCGCTTGGAGACCGTTTAAAAGTTATAAGAACTGCCCCAAGCGTATAGAAATCTGTTTCCCTGCCCGATCGAGTTACCCTACGTGCCGCTTACAGACCGCTAGTAAATATTTAAAGTGAAAGTTTATGCCCTAAGTGCCGCTTGAAGACCGTTTAAAAATTACAAGAGTGTCCCAAGCTTATGAAAATCTGTTTCCCTGCACGATCGAGTTGCCCTACGTGCCGCTTACAGACCGATAGTAATTATTTAAAATGAAAATTTATGCCCTAAGTGCCGCTTGAAGACCGTTTGAAAGTTATAAGAACTGCCCCAAGCGTATAGAAATCTGTTTCCCTGCACGATCGAGTTGCCCTATGTGCCGCTTACAAACCAATAATATCTATATATAGGAGACAGTTCATGCCCTAAGTGCCGCTTGAAGAACGTTCAAAAATTATAAGAACTGCCCCAAGCGTATAGAAATCTGTTTCCCTGCACGATCGATCTGCCCTATGTGCCGCTTACAAACCAATAATATCTATATCTAGAAGACAGTTCATGCCCTAAGTGCCGCTTGAAGACCGTTTAAAAGTTATAAGAACTGCCCCAAGCGTATAGAAATCTGTTTCCCTGCCCGATCGAGTTACCCTACGTGCCGCTTACAGACCGCTAGTAAATATTTAAAGTGAAAGTTTATGCCCTAAGTGCCGCTTGAAGACCGTTTAAAAATTACAAGAGTGTCCCAAGCTTATGAAAATCTGTTTCCCTGCACGATCGAGTTGCCCTACGTGCCGCTTACAGACCGATAGTAACTATTTAAAATGAAAGTTTATGCCCTAAGTGCCGCTTGAAGACCGTTCAAAAATTATAAGAACTGCCCCAAGGTATAAAATCTGTTTCCCTGCACGATCGAGTTGCCCTATGTGCCTCTTACAAACCAATAATATCTATATCTAGAAGACAGTTCATGCCCTAAGTGCCGCTTGGAGACCGTTTAAAAGTTATAAGAACTGCCCCAAGCGTATAGAAATCTGTTTCCCTGCCCGATCGAGTTACCCTACGTGCCGCTTACAGACCGCTAGTAAATATTTAAAGTGAAAGTTTATGCCCTAAGTGCCGCTTGAAGACCGTTTAAAAATTACAAGAGTGTCCCAAGCTTATGAAAATCTGTTTCCCTGCACGATCGAGTTGCCCTACGTGCCGCTTACAGACCGATAGTAATTATTTAAAATGAAAATTTATGCCCTAAGTGCCGCTTGAAGACCGTTTGAAAGTTATAAGAACTGCCCCAAGCGTATAGAAATCTGTTTCCCTGCACGATCGAGTTGCCCTATGTGCCGCTTACAAACCAATAATATCTATATATAGGAGACAGTTCATGCCCTAAGTGCCGCTTGAAGAACGTTCAAAAATTATAAGAACTGCCCCAAGCGTATGAAAATCTGTTTCCCTGCACGATTGAGTTGGCCTACGTACCGCTTACAGACCGATAGTAACTATTTGAAATGAAAGTTCATGCCCTAAGTGCCGCTTGAAGAACGTTTGAAAGTTATAAGAACTGCCCCAAGCGTATAGAAATCTGTTTCCCTGCCCGATCGAGTTGCCCTACGTGCCGCTTACAGACCGCTAGTAACTATTTAAAGTGAAAGTTTATGCCCTAAGTGCCGCTTGAAGACCGTTCAAAAATTATAAGAACTGCCCCAAGGTATAAAATCTATTTCCCTGCACGATCGAGTTGCCCTACGTGCCGCTTACAAACCAATAATATCTATATATAGAAGACAGTTCATGCCCTAAGTGCCGCTTGAAGAACGTTCAAAAATTATAAGAACTGCCCCAAGCGTATGAAAATCTGTTTCCCTGCACGATTGAGTTGGCCTACGTACCGCTTACAGACCGATAGTAACTATTTGAAATGAAAGTTCATGCCCTAAGTGCCGCTTGAAGAACGTTTGAAAGTTATAATAAGAACTGCCCCAAGCGTATAAAATCTGTTTCCCTGCACGATCGAGTTGCCCTATGTGCCTCTTACAAACCAATAATATCTATATCTAGAAGACAGTTCATGCCCTAAGTGCCGCTTGGAGACCGTTTAAAAGTTATAAGAACTGCCCCAAGCGTATAGAAATCTGTTTCCCTGCCCGATCGAGTTACCCTACGTGCCGCTTACAGACCGCTAGTAAATATTTAAAGTGAAAGTTTATGCCCTAAGTGCCGCTTGAAGACCGTTTAAAAATTACAAGAGTGTCCCAAGCTTATGAAAATCTGTTTCCCTGCACGATCGAGTTGCCCTACGTGCCGCTTACAGACCGATAGTAATTATTTAAAATGAAAATTTATGCCCTAAGTGCCGCTTGAAGACCGTTTGAAAGTTATAAGAACTGCCCCAAGCGTATAGAAATCTGTTTCCCTGCACGATCGAGTTGCCCTATGTGCCGCTTACAAACCAATAATATCTATATCTAGAAGACAGTTCATGCCCTAAGTGCCGCTTGAAGACCGTTTGAAAGTTATAAGAACTGCCCCAAGCGTATAGAAATCTGTTTCCCTGCACGATCGAGTTGCCCTATGTGCCGCTTACAAACCAATAATATCTATATCTAGAAGACAGTTCATGCCCTAAGTGCCGCTTGAAGACCGTTTAAAAGTTATAAGAACTGCCCCAAGCGTATAGAAATCTGTTTCCCTGCCCGATCGAGTTACTCTACGTGCCGCTTACAGACCGCTAGTAAATATTTAAAGTGAAAGTTTATGCCCTAAGTGCCGCTTGAAGACCGTTTAAAAATTATAAGAACTGCCCCAAGCGTATGAACATCTGTTTCCCTGCACGATTGAGTTGGCCTACGTACCGCTTACAGACCGATAGTAACTATTTAAAATGAAAGTTTATGCCCTAAGTGCCGCTTGAAGACCGTTCAAAAATTATAAGAACTGCCCCAAGGTATAAAATCTGTTTCCCTGCACGATCGAGTTGCCCTACGTGCCGCTTACAAACCAATAATATCTATATATAGAAGACAGTTCATGCCCTAAGTGCCGCTTGAAGAACGTTCAAAAATTATAAGAACTGCCCCAAGCGTATGAAAATCTGTTTCCCTGCACGATTGAGTTGGCCTACGTACCGCTTACAGACCGATAGTAACTATTTGAAATGAAAGTTCATGCCCTAAGTGCCGCTTGAAGAACGTTTGAAAGTTATAAGAACTGCCCCAAGCGTATAAAATCTGTTTCCCTGCACGATCGAGTTGCCCTATGTGCCTCTTACAAACCAATAATATCTATATCTAGAAGACAGTTCATGCCCTAAGTGCCGCTTGAAGAACGTTTAAAAATTATAAGAACTGCCCCAAGCGTATAGAAATCTGTTTCCCTGCCCGATCGAGTTGCCCTACGTGCCGCTTACAGACCGCTAGTAACTATTTAAAGTGAAAGTTTATGCCCTAAGTGCCGCTTGAAGACCGTTCAAAAATTATAAGAACTGCCCCAAGGTATAAAATCTGTTTCCCTGCACGATCGAGTTGCCCTACGTGCCGCTTACAAACCAATAATATCTATATATAGAAGACAGTTCGTGCCCTAAGTGCCGCTTGAAGAACGTTTAAAAATTATAAGAACTGCCCCAAGCGTATAGAAATCTGTTTCCCTGCCCGATCGAGTTGCCCTACGTGCCGCTTACAGACCGCTAGTAACTATTTAAAGTGAAAGTTTATGCCCTAAGTGCCGCTTGAAGACCGTTCAAAAATTATAAGAACTGCCCCAAGGTATAAAATCTGTTTCCCTGCACGATCGAGTTGCCCTACGTGCCGCTTACAAACCAATAATATCTATATATAGAAGACAGTTCGTGCCCTAAGTGCCGCTTGAAGAACGTTTAAAAATTATAAGAACTGCCCCAAGCGTATAGAAATCTGTTTCCCTGCCCGATCGAGTTGCCCTACGTGCCGCTTACAGACCGCTAGTAACTATTTAAAGTGAAAGTTTATGCCCTAAGTGCCGCTTGAAGACCGTTCAAAAATTATAAGAACTGCCCCAAGGTATAAAATCTGTTTCCCTGCACGATCGAGTTGCCCTACGTGCCGCTTACAAACCAATAATATCTATATATAGAAGACAGTTCATGCCCTAAGTGCCGCTTGAAGAACGTTTAAAAATTATAAGAACTGCCCCAAGCGTATAGAAATCTGTTTCCCTGCCCGATCGAGTTGCCCTACGTGCCGCTTACAGACCGCTAGTAACTATTTAAAGTGAAAGTTTATGCCCTAAGTGCCGCTTGAAGACCGTTTAAAAATTATAAGAACTGCCCCAAGGTATAAAATCTGTTTCCCTGCACGATCGAGTTGCCCTACGTGCTGCTTACAAACCATTGAATAATAAATTATGTTGTACAAATATAATGATAATAATGATCTAAATCAAATTGTAAACTAACCTGCACCAACAATGAAAGTTGAGTTGCTTTTGTAAGTGTCAAAGCGCTTCGAACTATACGAAAATTAGCTTGCGTAATGATTCGCTTTTGGGTTATGCCATCCATATGCCATTTGATCAACATCGTCTAAGAACAGGCCTCGTAATTCAAAGATCACGGCGGCGAAAACAACCCGCCAGACGGATGTTTATCTGTTCAAAGAAAGGGCGGCGCGGAGGGGGGACCCCCGCTTTGGCGGCGCAGAGTGGGGACCCCCGCCAGACGAATGTTTATCTCTGCTGTCTGCTGTCTCCGCTAGCTCCAGCAGCGCCCACCCGGCGGCGCGGAGGGGAGACCCCCGCTTCGGCGGCGCAGAGGGGGGACCCCCGCCAGACGAAAGTGCATCACTGCTGTCTGCTGTCTCCGCGAGCTCCAGCACAGCGCCCGCTGCCTTTTTATTTTTTGCACTTTCCCTTATCATTAGATATACTGCAAGGATATATTGCTTAACATGCAAATTCCAACCCCTACTCTTTTAGATGGCGACTGTATCCATTCAAAGGCGAAGAGTCATTACCAGTACTGCACATTCATCGTCAATCCGCGTATCTGATTGGAAGAGACAGGAAAATAGCTGATTTGCCCATAGATCATCCAAGTTGTAGCAAACAACATGCTGTTCTGCAATACAGGTATGAGGTACACTCTAATAAGTGTTCCACGTTCACTATTAACTCTTCTTGCTTCGTCCACTCTCATTTTTCTATTAATATATATTATAGATCTGTTCCTTTTGAAAAAGCGGATGGGACGAAAGCACGACGGGTATTGCCGTACATCATTGATTTGGGCAGCTCAAATGGAACATTCCTAAACGGTTCTAAAATTGAGCCACAAAGGTGAGATTTTCGATTGTCTTCACATCAATCGTCCGGTGAATTGAAACTTAATTTTCTCAAAGTGATTTTCTGCCAGATATATCGAGCTGAAGGAGAAGGATGTGCTAAAGTTTGGGTTTTCAAGTCGCGAGTTTGTCGTCCTTAATGAAAAGTCAGCTGGTGATGAAAATGCATCTGATCCTGAGCCTATGTCGCCGAAATCAGAGTAAAGCTGTAGGTTTGTGAACACTTCGAATCTGAAATAGCTGTCAGATTTTATCGTTAATGCATTATCTCATTTTTTTTTTGTTCATAACATTCCGATAGATCATAGAGTAAGATTTTCTCAAATCAAAGAATAATAGTTAAAACCGTATCCGCGTAAGCATTTGAGCAGAATTGTTTTGTATTGTTTTTTTTGCTGAATAGCATCTGCTTGACAACACGCGCTTTGGAGTCTGCAATCGCTATGCACTTGCAAAGAAAATTATTGTGTCGCAGCACAGATATAGCATTAATAGCATTGATAACGAGTTGTTTAATATATCTCAAAATTGTTGTTAGAGTGCATCTCTGAAACTTACGTAAAAGAAAATGTCCAAAATATTTGGCTAAGCAGTTTGTGTTCGACGGGAGTGATCTTGTATTATATGCATCTTTATTTTCATTTACTCCAGATCGAAATAAAGCTTTTTCTTCCTTTGCTTGAAGATATCGAAGGAACATCTCAGCAGTTTATGTTCCTGCTACGCTATTAGAAGAAACCGGTGATCTTCACTTGAGAGGAAAGTTGGCCTTTCGGAGGACCCCGCTAAGCGGCGGGGAAAAATTTATTGTGGTATTGTTTATGCTTTTATAAGCAGTGGCTGGCAGGCTGGCAAAGGTAGAATCTGGGACTTCCTACTTAGTTACAAAAGAATCCTTTTCGGTCGAAGAGGACTTTTAAAATGAGTCCTACATCACCGTGAAGAGCGCTGGACGCTGATTCCAAATCTGATTCAGTTTTCGCGGAACAACTCTCTAGAACAATTATGAACGTTTGAAAGCCCAAATTTATTAAGCTTCGTGGTATAAAATCAGCGGAAATCTGTCAGAAAACACCAATGCGGATTTCCACTGGCTGTTTTCTTTTGCAGTTAGTATATTGCTGGATGGTCTGCCACTTCAAAGTGTTTTTACAAGTTTTCGCCAACTTTATGTCGCTTGAAGGTTAACAAAGGACTTCCAAACGCTCGTAACTTTCTGTGGGACTCATTTGGAAAGGTCACTTCGAAAAGAAAGCGTTTCTTTTTAGATAGTGAGATGGCCCGTTTTCAGGTGATGTGAGCCCCAACATAGAAGTTTCCAATATTCCCTTCCCCTCGCTTCAGACGTTCACAACTACTTGATGGTCATTTGTGGCTGCGTCCGCAAGTTCCATGCGCAGAATTCGTATCCAGCTGCTTCCTCATCTATTACAGTCATTCCACGGACACGTCTGCCCATTTCTTTGGTTATCGTCCTCGGGGACGTTTGGCTTGGCGAGATATCCACTCAGATGTTCTTGGTGTGCATGACGGCCCATCAATGTTTCACTTTCGCGATTTGCTCCGCTGGGTCACGACGACAGGACATTCTTCTAAAATCCGTACTGCGAAGCCCGACAAGATGTTGTTATGTCGGGTCATCATCTGAAGACAGCGCTCGAGCGCTCTGTGGATGGTCCTAAAGCTTTCGACGTGGCTACAGTGTCTCAGCTGCGTAAGAGCGCCGGGAGAACGGCTGAGTCGAACAGGTGAGCACGAAGCTCCGGGTTCGTCAGTTGGTCAATGGCTTCCTTCAGAAGCCCGAAGGCGGCCCAGGCTGCTCTTCTTCTCCTGCTGAAGGCACCGTCCACCCTGATTTGAGGGTCTTGAGCTTTTGGCAGCCTATGATATTAGGGCCACCTGTCAAGCCAACGCCCAAGTCGCAGCGCAAAATGTCGCTTCGGAAGCGAGAAAATCGCTCGGGAATAACAACGATGCATGAGGACCCCCCACACGGCACCGCCCTCCCATCCATGTCCGCTCACCCGAGCGCGCCCAGCCAAGCACCGTTCCGGAAAGCCGGGTTTTTCGAAGCGGGGTCGTTGGGGTTTTCGCGGATTCTCGACTTCATATTGGGAATGAGGGATAAAAAAGCCCCGGAACGATTGAAACATGGAAGTTGAGAATCTGGGTAGACGATGCCTTTGAAGGCAATGTCTGGACAAAAAGTCGACTTTAGTTGTGCTTACCCGGGCCTATCGTTATGCCGAGTCCGGAAACCAACCTGGAGAGCGCGAAAACGGCAAAAAGCTCCAATACATTTGCGAAATCAGTAGGGGGCGGATCTTGCCCAAGGTGAATTCACGCTATCAGCTTTAGGAGCAATCTTTTTAATTCCGCTAGGCTTCCTGAAATCGCCACCGGCAAGTGCGAACGCGTGACTTGAAATCGGAACCGACAAGATCACTCCAGAAGCTGGGAGCGTGAATCCCCAGTAGGGAAGATCCTGCCTACCTGATGAGTTCCATCACCCTTAGAGCCCCTATTCGCCGTTTTTGCGCTCTCCAATGTGGATTTTCGAATTCAGCATAGCGAATAGGCCCGGATAGGCACAAAATCTCAAAATCGACCTTTTGCCCAGACACTGCCTCTAAGTTCTTCCCTCAAATCGTTCTCCACGCTCATCGAACGTCCTCTGGACTCCTTAATGGGCGCTTCCAATTCCATTCCGCATTCACAAAGAGCGTTCTCATAAACTGAGTCTTCTTCCGATTTTTTCGTAGTCTTCTTATTCCCTACTTCGTTTTCCTCCAGCATCGTCTCCATTTCAAACTTCTAAAGAGAGAACGATGTCGTCTTGCCCGCTCATTCTTGCGCTTGTGGAATACTGTTAACATGCGGTAGGTACAAGGAAGATTATCGTCTCGATTCTGCCTAAAATCCCTGACTTTCTGCAGCTTATTAACATTTGATTCAATTGGCTTGGCACCATTAGGGCGGGGATTTGTGATCTAATTGAGGCCGCTCGCGCCCGCGACGCATCTGCGTCTCTCTCGCGCGAGTGCTCTCTGATCATTACCTAGCCTTAATTAGGCCACGAAGCCCCGCCTTTGCCGACGCCAAATCAGTTAAATCAAATGGTACGCAGTAGATGGATGACATCACTGAAATGAGCTTGTCGAATGATGTTCTGAGAAAAATCTATAAGGAATCCGTGACAATGGGTCCCTACAGTACAACTACCGTATTTTTGCAATATGCCACTACCGGAAAAATGAACATGCTTAGCGTAAAGAGCACTTCGAATAACCCTGCCACGCTTTCCACACGGACCTGTGCAAAACTGATTCTTATCATACGCCTACCGTATCTTTGCGCCGCTACCAACTGCAGCTCGTTCCATTAACATACACTGCATATACTAATCAAGCCTTCTCCCAAAAAAGTATGCGAAAAATGATTTCTTACCGTGTACACACCGTACCCCCCCCCCCCCACTATATCAGAGGATACACCGAGTTGAATCAAGCAGTGTCCTTGATTTCAGAATTCGATTTTGAATCATTTTAAGGCGATACGACGCAGATTCCAGTGAACCCCGAAGTGGGCGACTTTACTGACGAATGAGCCGTCTTTAAAACTATAGGTCTTTGCGAAACTCAAAAACCTTCTTCAGTGACGTTACGGTAAACGTCCGTGGTTTTGAGATTACCAGCTCAGTACTCGTTGCATAGCTGGCCGTTGGTTGTGCTCGGTATTGGCCGCCAAATCATTGAAGTATTATGTTGTAACATAAGTCTTGTTACACTTTAACTTCTGAAGTCAATAAGTCATACAGTTCAATCTCCAGTACACTTACAGTAGATCTGAAAGGCTGACAAAAAGGCAGAAGTTATTCCTAGATTCCTTGCGAAAGGAAGCTCATGGAGTGAGTTTATTTCAGGTTAGCAGTTATCTTACCAAATTCCAGCTTTGACACACATGTGTGTCAAACGGTCCCACGCAGTAGTCATTGCTTGACACACATGTGTGTCAAGCGGTCGTCAATGTGTTAAATAAAGCAAAGCAAGCTCTACAAGAGGCTGTGCAAAAGTTCGCACCAATTTTGACCCTGCATAAGTTTGTATCCAAAATCTAAGTCGTACTGAAGGCTCAAAAAATAGGGGAATTTATATCTTCGTTCAAAAAAATCCTACAAATTCCGAACTCGCTTACGCTTAATCTACAAATCGGGAAAACGAAAACTTTTTAAATAAAAACGAAGCTGTGCTGTTCCCACCTATGTAATTGTATAGTACAAGCCCTTAGAAGTACAACCGTAAATTTCCAGCTTTCCGCAAGCCCTAGTTTTCGAGAAGTATTGATTTTAGCATGGAACATTCGAGTGAGGAAAGCCAAATTCGATTCGCAGCACAACAGGTAGCTGGAAAACGGGTCACGTTAAGGTGGTCAGCAATTGTACCGAAAAGTGTTAAAAACAATGCACGTTAGGGTGGTCAGCGATTGTACCGAAAAGTGTTTAAAACAATGCCAAGATTCAAGGAAAACCGAACCTTTACCACAAAGAACAAGGGAATGATACCAGATCGCAGTGACGAATCGAAATGGTATGCATATCAGTAGATGCGTCTTGACCAGTTGATTCCAGATCTACTTTCCATATCTGCTAAGCCTTCACAAGGAGAAGCTACGTTTGAATGTTCAAGTTTGGCTAACATCCGATACCACATCTTCGAGGACTACTAGTTCGAAAACACTTATTTTTGTGTTCGGTGTATGTATGCATTCCATGTAGTAAATCCACTTAAAAACATGCCAGTTAATCACGCCTGCTGTTTTTCGAAGTACATTACGCATCAAAACCCCAATAACTTTTCCAAACCATATCTTCAAGAGAAGCGCTTAGCAGACAAGAAAGATAAATTTAGAATCTGCTCATCAAGACGCATCTAATGATATGCATATTATTTCGGTTTTTCACTGCGACCTGGCATCCTTCCCTTGTAAGAGATGTACCAGCAAGCTATGTTCGGCTAGTAAGTACCAGCAAGCTATGTTCGGCTAGTAATGACAATTCTTTGCATTGATACAAAAGATTGCCTCAGGAAGACAGACCGTCCTTTTCGCCTGCCGCCGCCATCAACTCGAGACATTCAGAACTTCTTTTCGAGGAAACGACTACATGAAATATGCGGCTTTCCCGAAGAATCTCCTCAAGTACATCGCATCGAGCAACGTCTTCTA